AGCCGGCCTTTGGTCATCAGCATCTCTCAGATCAACTGCCCTCCAAATCCACGTGGTGCGCACATTTGCCCCCTTAGTAGTTAAGCCATATTTTGCTGTAGTGCTCTGTCCCCAGGCTGCGTAAACACTGCCTGCAAGCAGCTGCCCTGGGAGCACGGGCCCAGAGGACAGCACCAGCAGGATTTCCAAGGTTTCAGTGCAGCTGGACAGGCAGGCTCTTGAGGAGTCCATGTGCACGAGCCCTGCGAAACTACCACACAGAAGAGCATGCTAAAATCAACCGAGTCACACAAAATCTTCTTTTAAAAAACCATGTCCAAGGGAAATGAACATGTGGAGGAATGCGTTTTGCCTTATATTTGGTACTGGCATTTTTTTTTTTCTAGGATCTACTTATTTACTTAAAACTCAGAGAGTTACAGAGACAGAATCTTCCATCTGGTGGCTGTCTCTCCAAATGGCTGCAACAGCCAGGGCCGGGCCAGATTCAAGAAAGGAGACAAGAGCCAGGAGCTTCATCCAAGTCTCCTACGTGGGTACAGGGACCCAAGTTCTTGGATCATTCTCCGCTGCTTTCCCAGGCCATCAGCATTGAGGCTGGATTTGAGGGGAACAGTGGAAATGCAAACCACTTACTCATATGGGATGCGAGTGTTGCAAGCGGTTGTACCAGCCTGCTACAACTTTTTTTTTTTACTTACAATATACCTTCTTTCGCCTTCTTATGTCAAGAGAAACAAATACTAAAGCAACTGTGTAGCAGAAAACTGACCAAATGAAGTTAACTCCTAAGATTCTGTCACTCTCAGGAGATGTCACAACAAGGGGACCATCCGCTTGGGATAGCACAAGCTAATCAGCTTCGGGTACTAGCTGCTCAGAATGTACTGGGGTACCTGGAGAGACAGGACACACCAAGGCTTAATGGGAGAACCAGCTCGATTCCCATATGCCAGCAGACTCAGGGGAGCGTTCAAGCTCCAAGTCCTGACCCCAGAACAAAACTGAGCGCTGCAGACACTAGTTCAAATCCCAGCTGCTCCACTTCCCATCTGGCTTCCTGCTAACGCCTCTGAGAAAGCAGCAGAGGAAGGTTAAATCGCTTGAGGCCCTGCACCTACATGGGAGGCCAGCTCCTGGCTTTGGCTTGACCCACATAACCAAGGCGACTGCATCTATGTGGAAGTGAATCAGCAGGCAGAAGACATTCATTCTTTCTCTCTTTTTCTCCTCTCCCTGCCCAATTTTTCCTCTATAACTGCTGTTCAAATAAGCAAAAAAAAAAAATTTTTTTAATTATCAGAACCACAGAAATAATTAGTTGCACTGTGATATTTCGCAGAACTTGCACCCCTCATCTTGTTCCTGGGTTTTTTGGTTTTGAGGGAGGGGGATTTTTTTGGTTTTTTTGGTTTTCGTTTTTACCTCAAGCAGAGGGACCCCTGCCACAAGAGGACAGCATTCTGGGCTTGTGACCAGTCAAGGAGACATCAGCGAGATGGTCCCTAAAGAAAATAGCAGTTTTAGCAGCAAGAGTTTAGGGGACATGTCACCATGGGAAGAGTGGTGGAGCGCTTCCTGTTCCAGCAGCGTTAGTCTTCACACACTGTATGCTCAATACTCTCAGACCATTCATTCCCTTGCGCCATCTTCTGGGGTGGCAGCCTGACCCCCTGGAAGAGGTCCCTCTCAATTCAATGCTGCAAGTAGTCTTCTAGAAACGTCTTCTGAAAAACCTGCTGAGCTGAGTACATTGTCTCAGAGTGCCCCCCTGTTCCTACAACACTCTTCCCAAATCCTTCACTTCCCGCTACAATGTATTTCAAGAAGCCCACCTCATCTGAACACTTTTGGAAAATAGCCTGACATAAACAACTTCACTGGATCCGTTCCGGACCCTTGCCATGTGTGGGGGATTTGGTTACGAGGAATCGAAGGGTCTAGATTCATTTATGAGACAATTGCATATAGCACAGGTTCTAAGGCTGGACTCACTCCGAGGCTCTGATACATACAAAGCTACATATTAAAAACATGTGTGTGTGTGTGTGTGTGTGTGTGTGTGTGTGTGTGTGTACCTAGCCAAGGAGCTGCCACCCTGGTTTGTGTCTTCTCCTTGGCCACCTTTGCAGACTTGGGCGCTGCCCTGGTTTCTTTCTATGTATTTGAGCAAGCAGTCATGGTTTCTGAGCAGCTATAAGGGAGGCTGTATCTAACAGGGGAAGTATTATCCACCACAGAATATCACATGAGGACCCAACGCAACTAGGTGATCCAGTTAGGGAAGAGACAGGAAAAAATGCTTGAAAACCCCCAGGCCACTTGCGGTTCACCAATGTCTTGCTTGGGACAGTTCACCCCGTCATCCCCCTAAAAGCATGTTCGACTTCTCTTTGTGCAATAAACCTCTGGCACATTTCCAACCGTCTCGTGGCCTTTTCCTTTTTATGCTCAGCTAAGGAGCCCTCTGCGCCTCACGCCCCCAACCCTCTAAGCAATGGGTCTGCACCTGCAGGTATTCCAAGGAAAAGCCGTCGGTGACTTAGACTTTCAATCTTCTCGAGGATTTTGAATAAGCCAGTTGTTTCTAGCAAAGAGCAAATCCAAAGATGGTAAGACACAACTTGAAGTGCTTTTCTGAAGATTGACTTTTGAAAGACAGTTACACGGACACAGAGACAGAAGACAGACAGACGTATCTTCAATCTGTTAGAAAACAGCCATTGCCCAAACTCCTGGGACTGGGCCAATCCAAAGCCAGGAGCCTGGCCCTCCAGCTGAGTCTCCCAAGTGAGTAGCGGAAACCCAGACACTTGGCCATCTTTCATCACTTTCCCAGGCACATCCACAGACAGCTGGATTTTACCAGGAGCAACCAGGAACATACGGGATGCCAGCACCACAGGAGGCAGCTTAACCCACTAAGCCATAACGTTGTCCCATCTTTTAAAAAGTGTCTTGTGAAAATCATCCTGGGACCCAGTAACTATACCTGTATGTATGTTAATTACCAGTGTTTTATTTTCCTCTTGCTAGTTTAAAACCTGGCTAGCTTTAAACCTAAGTCTGTATTCTCCCACATACCACAAACAGAAAGATCCAATTCAAATAATTGGCTGGCATCTAAAAACAAGATTACTGTGGACCTAAGCTGTTATACAGTGATTCATTGCGCGGTAAGTTTTCAAACCTTCGAATGATTATCTTTTAAAAAAAAACAAAAGTCTGAGTCTGGGCACCACAGTGACCGCCTTGAAAGGAAAACCAGAAGACGTCTTTTGCTATTTTTCATAATCACAGTTACCTTTGTTGGCCCCAGGTTTAAAGAGTTTGCTGCAAGTCAGCTGGTTGGACACTTCACTGCATTTTCTCGCTGGCACAACGTGATAAAGTTAGCAAAAATTCTCCTAAAACAGACTGAGTTTCTCTTGTATCTGTTCCACTATATGACCAACCGAGCTCTCAAATTCCTTTCATTAGCAAGAAATGTATCAGTGTATGTTTCCAACATCCTGTATTGCAAAAAAAAATCTGGTCAGCTGATTTTCAGAGAACATTCCCCTGGGGAAACTGGAGCTGACTCACTCACTCACTCAAAGCCTCTTAACTGGGCTCCCAGCCTCTCCTCCCCAGAACACATCCCCTCGTGGTGTGCCCAGCATGTCAGACACACCTACTTGAAAACTCTCACCGGCCAAAAAATGGTCTAAAAGGCCAGGGTCCAGATGGCTCTCCCATCCCTCCCTTTCACAAAGCCGCCTCCTAAGAAGTCAGGTCCCAGCCACTTCCTTCCTTCCTCTCACAAAAAACTTTTGCTGAGAAAGCATTCCCACCCTGAGATGCGTCATTTTCTCAAACAAAATCTCCCCCATCCATTCTCGAATAAACTCGGCGCTAGCATGGAGGTTCAATCCTGAAGACACGCACGCAGGCTTGAGGGACTGACCCACCTGTGGGCGCCTGACCTTCCAGGACTCCGCACACGCGCGCAGGCTCGTTAGAAAGACCACACGTGTTAACACTCAAACATTGGCCTCACTAACACTCTTTCGGATCACCGCAACCCTCGATACATAACCTTAAGCATAGCAAAATGTTGCCCATCTAGACCGCCACAGGAAAAGTAGTCTTAAAAAGTAACATTCGCATCCTCCTCCTCCTCCCCCAAAAAAACTCCATATTGACTTTCAGAATTATCCCCTGGGGCCAACGGACTTGAATTGCCAGAGATAAGGACAAATTAAGTAGTTTCCAGAAGGTCAGCGGTCCAGCGCTCTGAAATGAGTCTTCCTGGCCTCTGAATAACTCTCCCAGCAAATGCTGGGGAAACGCCTGCCTCTTCCGACAAATTCACCCCTGGCAGAGAAGATACTCCAACAGCCATGTGAACAAGAATGCAAAAGCAAACCAAAAAAAAAAAAAGAGCCGCGACAATGTTGGGGATTCACATCCATCCTGTCTGGACATCTTCAAAGACCTTACAATATTCAGAGCAAGTTCCACAACTCAAAAATTCGAGACGATTGACAATAACCCTGGGGAGTTCCAACAGCAGGCTTACGTGTCCAGATTTAAGTAAAAACAGAAATAAAGAGATTCTGTCGAGACTTTTAAAAAAACGGCCTGCGAGCAAGGAAGCGCTCCCCCACCCCTTTATTGCATGACTCAATTTGGCTCCGTGGACCCAGTGGTGTCTCGACTAACTCCCATCTCCAGTGCCCGGCGCCCCAAGTTCCACCTCCCAAGCCTTCTCCCCAGCACCTCTGCGCCCTGGAAAGCTGCACAGCCACCCAGGGCGCGCGCCCAGCCTGCGGGGTCCCGGCCGGGACGAGTCCAGGACGCAGCTCCGCGCCGTGCAGGACGGAGCAAGTGGAAGCCCAGCCCCCCGGCGTCGGGCCTGAGCGCTGTCCACCGGCCCCGGACGCCCGGGCTCCAGCCCTGCCTGGGCCAGCAGCCATCCCGCAGGAGCCCAGGGCTGGGTTGCGAGCGCAGACACCCACCTGGCCGCGCCCCACCGAGGACCGGGCCCACCAGGCCCAACCACAGCCACCACTGGACGCGGAGGGTCCGGGACGGCGGCGACTCGGCGTCCGCCCGCATGGCGGTGCGATCCCGCAGGTTGCCCTCAGCACTCGGTCGCCTCCGCCTCTTCCATCCTCCTCCAGCCCAGCCCGGGCCGCGGAGCTAGGACGCGCGCCTGGGAAGCAGGAGGACGAGCACGCGCGCCGCACTGACGCAACTCGGCCCCGGGTCCAAGCTCCCGCGCGGACATCGCGCCCGCCAGGCTGACGTCAGGAAAATTCCAATCGCTGCTCTCTGCCGCCCAACCACGCCGCGGCGGGAGAAGGGATTTCACACGCCCCGCCCCCGTCGCCGTCAGCCCCGCCCCTTTGCGAAGGCCGAAGGAGCCGATTGGAAGCGCAGACAGGGTGCGGCCCCGCCCCGCCCCGAGCCGCGCTTCCCGGTTGGCTGGCTGGCTGGCTGACTGGCTGGGCGGGGCGTCGCCGGGCGCGCCCATTGGCTGCTCGGCAGCGAGGAGCGAGGCTGCGCCGCGGCCTGGCAGACAGGGCACCCGGGCCGGCTCTCCTGGCCGTGGTTCCGCCGCTGGGCCTGGGAAGATGGTGCTGGGAGGCTGCCCGGTGAGTTACTTACTGCTGTGCGGCCAGGCCGCTTTGCTGCTGGGGAACCTCCTGCTGCTGCATTGCGTCTCTCGGAGCCACTCGCACAATGCCACCGCCGAGTCGGAAGTCGCGGCCGCCGCTGTCGCCCACCCGGAGAGCCCCGGCGGGGCGGCGAGCTGGGAGTATGGCGACCCTCAGTCTCCGGTCATCCTTTGCTCCTACCTGTAAGGCGGGGGAAGGGGTAGGGGGCCGCTGGCGGGAGGCGGGGACGGGGAGAGACGGCGTCCTGGGGGTGATACCCTGTCACCCAGGCGGTGACAGTCCTTTCTGTGGGGGCGGTAGGTGCTTTTTTGGGGGGTCCCGGAAGACGCGAACTGGGAAGGAGCAGTGGGGCGCAGTTACCGAGAGAGTGCACGGACAGTAAGGTGCTGGTGGACCGAACCACTAGTTCCTGTCTGCAAGGCACTTAAAAAAAAAGCCACCAATATCCTCGCCCTGGCCAAACCTAAACCACTTTATTAACAAGTGTGTTTGTTGTTGTTGTTTTAACAAGAAAGGGCATTTGGAAAATGCAAACAGAACTGCAAATCCCTTGGCTTCAGTTTGTGCCTGTTGGTCTGGTGGCGTTTGCGTAGGGATGAAAGTTGAACCTGTGGCAAAAGTAAAATCCATCCACAGGACAGGGCGACTCACCTCTCTTCCCCAACACGAGAGTGGGTCTCTCTGGGTGAAGTTGTCCGGGCTCGGCTTGGATGGACAGCGCCTCTTGGCCTTGTTGCTGCCGGGCCTTGGAGTAAATAACGCTTTGCAAAGATGGGGCTGACTGTCCCTTTCCTGATTTACAGGCCCGAGGAGTTTATAGAATGTGACGACCCAGTGGATCATTCGGGAAATGTAACCGCATCCCAGGAGCTCGGTTATGGCTGTCTCAAGGTGAGTTTGTTTGGTGGTCCTTGCGAGCTCTCAGCTCTGGTATAAACGCTTGCTACTGTTAACTGCCACTGCAGGGGTAGAAAGTGACCTGCTCCTGGAAGTTTGCAGCTGGCCTGGGTCAGCGGTTGAGCACGACGTGGTTTTCTGGGGAAGCATTGTCCATGCCAAAGCCACCCAGAAGCAAAGACCAACCTGACAGTGGGTTTCTTGCATTGAGATTGACAGGTGTGTGTCACTGTGGACTCTGACTGATGGTGGAAAGCTGAAGTTTATTAGCGTCATATAGGATAAGGGAGGAGGTATTGAGCTTATCAACAAAACCCATCAACAGTTTCTCTACTGTTGTTTGGAACTGCTTTTGTTGCACATCCCACCAAGTGTTCACCTGCTGTCCACTCAGCTGTTCTCATGATATCCAATCAGTTATACAAAAAGTATCCATTCAGCTGTACAGGGGACATCCAATCAGTCACACAAATGGCATCCATCCAGTTTTCACACAAATATTGTCCTATCAGTTGTAATCCTGTGCTCCCTGGCCTAGGGTCACAGTGTCCTTCTATAAGTGTGAATCTGCCGGGTTAACCCTTGGGCTGGCTTGCTAAGGTAGACACTTTGCTCAAAGCACAGAACAGAAGGCTGTGCGCTCTCCGGAGCTGGTGATGCATGCAGGGCGCAGCGCCGCCGTCTGCAGCCTTTCCACCAGGCAAGCCATGGACTTAGAAACTGTCCATGAGTACACACCTTTGTAGGAGGGTGAGACATTCGTGGGACGCCTTGGGTAAAAATGACCTCCTGGCATGAAAAGAAGCCATTTGGGTCCATTAGGAATAGTCCTAATCCTGACTGTTTTTTAAAGATTTATTTATTTTTATTGGAAAGGCAGATATACAGAGAGGAGAGACAGAAAGGAAGATCTTCTGTCCAATAGTTCACTCCCCAAGTGGCTGCCCCGCTGGAGCTGAGCCAATCAAGCCAGGAGCCTCTTCCCAGTCTCCCATGCAGGTGCAGGGTCCCAAGACTTTGGGCCGTCCTCAACTGCCTTCCCAGGCCACAGGCAGGGAACTGGATGGGAAGTGGGGCCGCCAGAATTAGAACTGGTACCCATATGGGATCCCAGGCATGCAAGGCAAGGACTTTAACCACTATGCTATCACGCCAGGCCCTAATCCTAATTTTTTTTTAAAGATTTATTTATTTTTATTGGAAAGTCAGATATACAGAGAGGAGGAGAGACAGAGAAGAAGATCTTCCATCCGATGATTCACTCCCCAAGTGGCAGCAACGGCCGATGCTATGCCGATCCGAAGCCAGGATCCAGGAACTTCTTCCGGGTCTCCCACACAGGTGCAGGGTCCCAAAGCTTTGGGCCATCCTCGACTGCTTTCTCTGGCCACAAGCAGGGAGCAGGATGGGAAGTGGAGCTTCTGGGATTAGAACCGGCACCCATATGGGATCCCGGGGTGTTCAAGGTGAGGACTTTAGTCGCTAGGCCACGGCGCCGGGCCCTCCTAATCCTAATTTTTAAAAAGGAAAGAAACTAATAAAGTTTGCAGATCTCCAGCCCAGCATGGATTCATCCTATATCCTGCATAATGCTTGTCATGATTTAATCAGATGATAGGAGGCAAATTAGGGGAAAAACCTTTCCTATATTAAATGTAAATCTTACAAACAGAAATAAACCTGACAGCAGCAAGAACAAAAAAAAAAAAAAAAAAGCAGCTCTTACTAAAATCACATGTAAAGAAACATTTCAGATACAACTGAATGTTGCCTTATTGGTCGTTAGTGATAAGAGCTTGGTGACCGTTAGAGCAAGGTTACTCACTTTTGCCGGTGTTTAATTGAAAACTGAGCTGATCCTATCCTGGCACCCGGCTCTCACGGGACCCAGAAGCTTTCAAGGACTGAGTATTCAGGGCATTCTGAGTTCCAGGGAGTTGCCCTTTCGTCCTCATTTCACAAAGCCATCCTTTTGGGAGAACATTCCAACAAAACAGTTGGAAACTACTCTGTTTTCACGGCAAGAATTGAGGCAAGCAAAATACAAGAGCCTCAATTCTGAAACTTGTTGCCAAAATTTAAACTATGTACGTACTGTAGATTTATAGCAATTACCCCTTCATTATTAAATTATGAAAACAGTAGGACTGGATTTTCAGCACAGCGAGTTAAAGCCACCAATCAGTGTAGTGAGGAGAACCACCTGCTGTAATGCCAGCATCCCACGGACATGTCAGGTCATGTCATGGCTGCTCCATTTCTAACCTGGCTTCCTGCAGCTGGCCTGAGAAAGCACTGGGAGATGACCCAAGTACTTGCGGCTCCTGCCATCCACACAGGAGACCCGGATGAAGCTCCCGGCTTCAACCTTGCATCGTGGCCATTTGGGGAGTGAGCCAACCAGTGAAAGACCTCTGTCTTATTTTCTCTCTCACTCACTCTCCCCGCCACTGCATCTGTGTCTCATCTTTGTGCACGTACCGTATCAGGATGCCAGTTCAACTCCTACCTACTCCACTTCTGATTCAGCTTCATGATGATGCACATGGAAAGCAGCTGAGGATGACCTAAGTACCGGGGTGTTTTCCCACCAATGTGGGAGACCCAAGTGGAATTCCTAACTCCTGCCTTTGACCTGACTTCACCCTAGCTGTTGTGGGCATTTAATGAAATTAATGATTTTCTTTTATTTTTTTTTTTTAAGATTTTATTTATTTATTGGGAAGTCAGATATACAGAGAGGAGGAGAGACAGAGAGGAAGATCTTCCATCCGATGATTCACTCCCCAAGTGGCAGCAACGGCCGATGCTATGCCGATCCGAAGCCAGGATCCAGGAACTTCTTCAGGGTCTCCCACACAGGTGCAGAGTCCCAAGGCTTTGGGCCGTCCTCGACTGCTCTCCCAGGCCACAAGCAGGAAGCTGGATGGGAAGTGGAGCTGCTGGGATTAGAACCAGCACCCATATGGGATCCCGGGGTGTTCAAGGTGAGGACTTTAGTCGCTAGGCCATGCCGCTGGACCCTGATTTTCTACATAGATATATATATACACACTGCAGGTTGCTTATTCATTATCCAAAATGCTTGTGTCCAAAAACGTTTCAGAATTTGGATTTTGTTTCTGTTTTTGGAGTTTTTTTGTGAATATGACATACCTTGGGGTCAGGACCAAAGTCCAAACGTAAAATTCCTTTATTTCTCATACGCACCTTGTAGCCTAAGTCCATGCTTATATCATATTTTCAGTGCACCTGCATTTGGACCGCAGCTTATCCCATGAGGGTAGTGTGAAACTTTATGCTTGCGACATTGGAGTGCTCAGGAAGTTCTGGATTTTGGGTGTCAGATTCAGGGTGCTTAACCCATGTAGAATCGGAGAAGCCAGTCGTGGGGGGAACCATCATTTGAAGCTTGTCACTAAATTCCATATTTTTGTAGCACTGCTTTACCCTAACCTTGTTCAAATAAAGCCAGTCCCAAGGCAGCTTTTATTAGTGACACGAAGATATGTTTTTGTATGCATTGTTTTGGTGACTTTGGCTTTCGTTGTGGTTTGGGCTGTTACCCACAGTTCGGCGGTCAGGCCTACAGTGACGTGGAACATACTGCAGTCCAGTGCCGAGCCCTCGATGGAATTGAGTGTGCCAGTCCCAGAACCTTCTTACGGGAAAATAAACCTTGTATAAAGTAAGTACAACTTTGAACGTGGCAGTTGATACTTGGGTGTGGATAAACCCATTTTCCTTGTGATTTCTTTCAATGTGGCTTTTTTTCTTTTAAATGTTTAAATATGATGTCTGGGCATTAAGTATTGGCACAGCCAGTGTGGTTATAGTAGAGAAGACATTGGCTAGGAGACCAGAAGTTGTGAATTCTAGATGTCTCTTTCCCTACTGGCTGGGGACCTGGAACCCTCTCCAAAATGAACTCCTCTCCAAAATGAGGATTTATTTTTAGATTTATTTACTTGAAAGGCAGAATTTCAGAGTGGAGGGGAGGTAGATGAAGAAACAAAACATACTTTCATCTGCTGATTCACTGCTGAAATGGCCGCAATGGCCAGAGCTGAGCCAGGCCAGAGCCAGGAGCCAGGAGCTTCCTCCAGGTCCTTCCCATGGATTCAGGGACCCAAGCACCTGGCCCATCCTCTGCTGCTTTCCACATTAGCAGGTGGCTGGATCAGAAGTGGAGCAGACAGGACCCATACTGGCACTCATATGGGATGTTGGCTTTGATAATGGCACATTTACCCCCTGTGCCACAACACCAGCCCCATGTGTTTAGCTCAGAGCCCATGGAAGCTATTCTTGCACCCACTCCCACCCTTTGCCCACAAGAAAGCCCACCAAAGGCAGTGAGTGACCCTCGGCTTCCAAGCACCACGGTGTCTTCTCCATAGGGCCTTACTCAGTGAGCCATGCTTCCTGCCTCTAACGCCTGGACTATAGTTATCTTTTTCTTTTTCCCCAGTTCCTCCTGGGTCTCCTCTCGTGATTACACCTGGCTGACCTTCTCATAAACTCCTCAGCCACATTAGGTTTGAGCGTCTTAAAGTTGTTGCTAAAACATCCTCCCTCTCGTCCCCTCGATCCAGGTACACGGGACACTACTTCATCACCACGCTGTTGTACTCCTTCTTCCTGGGCTGTTTCGGAGTGGACCGTTTCTGTCTGGGGCACACCGGCACAGCGGTGGGGAAGCTGTTGACGCTGGGAGGACTTGGCATCTGGTGGTTTGTTGACCTCATTTTGCTTATCACGGGAGGACTGATGCCAAGTGATGGCAGCAACTGGTGCACCGTCTACTGAGAGGAGCCACTGGGAGAGCCCAGGGGACCAGGGAACGCTGTCGTCCGAAGTCACCTCTGCAGGCTCACGGCTGCACGGGAGGAGACAGGATTGGTGGAGAAGGCTTCTTTCGACTTGGGATTTTCAGCCCAGATCTTAACTGTGGAGCTCAGAAGTGATCAACAGTGTTGTGGCAATCTAATCTGAGCCTCTCTCCCCGTGTACCAAATATAAAGGATAGTGACCAAACCATGAGCTGCAAAAAGGCTTCCATCGTGTTTGGCCCAGCGCATGGCCCCGTCTTCAGCCGCCGTCGGGAGCAAATGGAGCCGCCAGCACAAGCACCGTGAGTGGCGTGCTCCACTTGCCTTTTGCAACCCTGAGATTTGGAGTGTAGCCAGTGAACATCTTCAGCAGCAGAAGAAATGGCTGTGGATGTTCATACATGCCAAAGTTGTTAAATTATGTGGAAAAGAAATAAACGTGGCCAACCTGGGCGTTTGTGTGAATACCGTAATAGAGAGGGAAGCGCAGTATTTGGGTTGCTGTGAATGAGGCATTCAGAACGAGACACCCTCTGACTAACCCCTTCTCGCCATTCCTGTGCTCCAGAGGCAGTACAGGCCATGGTTTCAAAGCCACACTGTTTCACGCATGTGTAAGCTGAACCATTCCCCTTAGCAAAGCTGTCTGTCGGCTGGTTTAAAATATATACATATATATCATTGTAAAACTCCTCTTCACAGCTGACTCAGATACAGTGAGGCTTATCATGCCCTGTGAAGGAAGAGCACACTTCTCCTTAAAAAGTCCCGAGTACCAGGGCAGAGTTAGCATGTCAGTTACGGGGCAAGGGAACACGGAACACGTTCAGGCAGGATAAGCATGGCACCCAGCTCTCACAGGGACCTACCACGACAAAGAGGGCATAAGCAAGCTTTTGCATTCCCAGGTCACTAGGAATAAAAGGGAAATAAAACCAATTGTGATTCGTTTTCAAGAACTCTGCCCATACTTCACATTCAAGTTAAAAAAGAAAGACTGTTAAATATAAAAATAAAGGTGGGACTTGTGAGCAAGGCACACAAAGAGCCTGCTATTTGGACTAACTTTGAAATTGTAGAAAAAACCAAGGTAAAACTACCCACAGTTTGCTTTTAGGATAATCGGCTTAAAGAACAGGCATCAACGGTATTTTCCCTGGATGTGTTCTCTCATTTTGCAGCAACTTTCCAGAAAGTCTCTGCTCTGCCATTCCCAGATTTACATCATCAGCGTTCTTACCATAATTAAAGGCACAATTTTATTTAAAAAAAAAAATAGTTATTTTGTTCTGTCTTGAAAGTTTTGTGCCACACAGGCCTTAATCTTGCTTATAACAGTAAGGACTGGTAGACTCTTGATTCATAATGTCTGTACAGTAAGACAGTATTGTGTTAAGATTGATTCAAGAGGCAGAGCAACAGAGAAAAGCTTCACTCCTTAAAGGGCTTCAACAACCCAGGAACTCCATCCAGGTCTCCCACATGGGTGGCAGGGGTTCAGGCACATGGGCCTTCGTCCAGTACCTCCCAATATACGTCAGCAGGAAGCTGGACCTCTAACCAAAGTGGCACTCCAGTGTGGAACACCAACTTCAGAAGTAGTGGCTTCGCCATACCACGATGCCAGCCCCTAGGGCAGCGTCTTTCTTTGACATGAAGAGACTAGACCTTCTCCCCAGTAAAACACACGTAAAATTTTGGATAGAATTTAAGGAGGCTCAAAGATACCATATATTTTTTTTTTAAACTCGCTTTTGAGAAATATCAGGTACTAAAAACTTCCAAAATAAGATACTAATTGAAGTTCAAAGTCTTGCCTCATCCCACGTGCTGCTTTTGTATCTCTCCAAAGATACTCATCAACCCCATCAAAAGTTGTTTTCTTTAGAAGAAACGAATAAGAATTCAAAGTACTGATGTTGGCAGGAAGATGTTGGGTTAAAAACTCCTAGTCTAAAGGAATGTAGAAGCTTAGTGGTCAGGAAAGGCTGTTGGGGACTGAAGTTGTGTTCACTGTTACCATGACCTCAAGTAGACTCACAGGGCTACTCCTGTGTGACAGCTCCCAATTCTGCTTCAATCAAAGTGATGCCCATGATTGCTGGCCGCAGAGCCTGGCCAACTGTGACAGCCTGAAGAACTGAGTCGAACAGCAACAGCACTGGATCACCCGGATTCTGGTGGATTTTCTAAATACGGAAGGTGGATAGATAACACTTGTCTATATGTCTGTGCTGTATCTAGTTTGTGCCTGCTATTAAAACCGGAAACACTGGAAAGTCCCTCTGTAAAGGTTGGTTGCTTTTTTTCTTCTTCTTTCTTTCTTTTCAGTTTCCAATCTTTAATAAAATGTCATCAGTTCCCCAGACTTCCTGGCACCGTATCCTTCCTGCACTTGGCTTAATAAGGCTTCTCCAGACCAGCACCCCCAGGCTAATGATCCCTGAACATGTGTGGTGTGTGGAAAGCATCTGTTTTTCTTTATTCAAGAGATCTTTGCCATCTTTGGCACATCTTCAATACAAACCAGATATTATAACTTTGGCTTTTTTGCAAAGTAAGCTTTCTTTAAAGCAAGATGACTTAATTGATTATTTCAGGTATGACCGTCAGGAACAACGTTTCACGTCCTCGGCGGACGACGAAGGCAAGGGACTCGCTGTCCTTCACGGCGTCGATGACATCAGCGGTGGTAGTAACAGGTTGCCCATTTATGCTGACAATCACGTCGTGGTCTCTGAACCCAGAGCTGGGGAGAGAAGGGAAAATAAAAGTCCATAAACTTGGGAAAGGCATACTTACTCCCATCTAAAATTCTGGCATCGCCTTTCTTAAGAACTTCTCCTTCGTAGGCCCTGAACCACGGAACCAGAGAAAGCGGCTGATGTTCTGAATAGAAGAGCTCTTCTCAGATGTGTGGAAGGACAATCAGCCATCTCACTTCATAGGAATAACACCCGGCCGGCCGAGTCGCGTGTAAGAAGTGCGCTAGTCTACGGACTGGACTTGGCTTTGAACAGTGTGACGTTCAACATGTGTTCACATCTGGCCTCTGTTTACCGCAAGCACACGCCAGCAAAGATGCAAAGCCCGAGCAACACATTTCCCCTCACTTTGCTTCCTTTGCTTGTGGACCTGGAGTACATGCTCAGAAGCACATGGCAGCCCTGCTCCCAGTCAGTCACAAGGCCATCAACACTTCCAACTTCCTAAAGCTCTGCTTCTAGCTTCCTCTGCCCCATAATTGCAATTGCATGCATTCCATAATCTTCTCTTCCCATAGAAGAAATTTTCTATCAACAAGAACCAGCTCAAATATAAAACCCCGCAATAAATACAGAGCTATACTCTCCTTGGTCTTCAAGATGGAAATAGGATGGAGGGGGAGCATCAAGAAATGACTTTGGGGGCCCAGCGTGATGGCGCAGTGGTTAAGGTCCTCGCCTTGAACGCCCAGGAGCCCATATGGGCGCCAGTTCTAATCCTGGCAGCCCCGCTTCCCATCCAGCTCCCTGCCAGTGGCCCGGGAAAGCAGTGGAGGACGGCCCAAGGCTTTGGGACCCTGCACCCTCATGGGAGACCTGGAAGAGCTCCTGGCTTCGGATTGGCTCAGCTCCAGCCGTTGCGGCCGCCTGAGGAGTGAATCATCGGATGGAAGATCTGTCTCTGTCTCTCCTCTCTGTATATCCACTTTTCCAATAAAAATAAAATCTTAAAAAAAAAAAAATGACTTTGGGAGACGCCAGCTGAGAGAAATCAGAAACTTGAGGAAGGATGACTGTGGAAGGATTACCAGGACTGATGGAGTTTGCAGCCAGCAGCGTGTGGCACAGACATTTAAGCCACCCCAGGCACCCCATGTCAGGGCACCAGCTTGAGTCCACTTCACATCCAGCTCCCTGCTAATGCTTCGGGGAAGGCAGCAGAAAATGGCCCGAGGAGCTGGGCCACAGCCACCGGGTGGGAGACCTAGATGGAGTTCCATGTGCCTGGCTTTAGTGCTAGAAGGTCTACCCATCCTCAACACCATTACTCTACCATTCAAATAAATTTTTTCAAGAATGCATGGATCAGGGCCCAGTGCAGTAGCTCAGCAGTTAAAGTCCTCACCTTGCACATGCTGGGATCCCATTTGGGCACCAGTTCTAATCCCAGCAGCCCCACTTCCCATCCAGCTCCCTGCTTGTGGCCTGGGAAAGCCGTCGAGGATTGTATATCTGTATACTGTATATCTGACTTTCCAATAAAAATAAATCTTTAAAAAAAAAAAGAATGTGTAGATCTTGAAAAGAGGCAGAAAAGTGAGTGCTGCGGCACAGCCAGCTACACCAGGGCCTGGGATACCCACAGGAGTCCTGCCTGCTCCCTTTCCCATCCAGCTCCCTGCTAGCGCACCTGAGAGGCAGTGGTGATAGAAGTACTTGGGTTCCAACTACCTACATGGGAGACCCGATGGAGTTCCTGGCTCCTGGCTTCAACTGGGCCAACCCTGGCTGATGTGAGCACTTTTTAAAAAGATTTATTTATTTATTTTTGTTGGAAATGTAGATATTCAGAGAGGAGGAAAGACAGAGAGGAAGATCTTCCATCGGATGATTCACGCCCCAAGCGTCCGCAACGGCTGGAGCTGAGCCAATCCAAAGCCAGGAGCCAGGAACTTCCTCCAGCTCTCCCATGAGAGTGCAGGGTCCCAAGGCTTTGGGCCATCCTTAACTGCTTTCCCAGGCCACAAGCAGGGAGCTGGATGGGAAGTGGGGCTGCCAGGATTAAAACCGGTGCCCAAGAACTTTAGCTGCTAGGCTACCATGCCAGGCCCAGAAACTGAATTTCTAAGAGTCAGTTACTTTGAGCAGTAATTCTCTCACATTTTAAGCTTTATATGAATCTCCTGTGGATCTTGTTAAACTGGTAGATTCAACTTAGTGTACTGAAGGTTGGGCCTGCGATTCTGTATTTCTAACAAGCTCCAATTGAAGCCAATGCCAGGACTGAAAAGAGCCCTGGCCTTGAACCAGAAGTGAAAAATAAGAATGTGGGAATGGGCAGAAAAGTCTGTGACAAGCCCTACTTAGCATGTAGCTATGCTAAACAGCCATTACTCTATGGGTTCTATTTGTTAAAATTGATTTATTCGATTTATTCGTTTGAAAGGCCGAGTTCCAGAGAAGAAGAGGGAGAGATCTTCATCTCTGGTTCACGCTCCAAAGGTCTACAATGGCCCGAGGAGAGCCAGGTTGAAGCCAGGAGCTTCTTCCAGGTTTCCTACATGGGCGCAGGGGCCCGAACACTTCAGCCACCTTCTAGCTCCCTGCTTTCTGAGGTATACCAGCAAGGCGCTAGATTATAAGCAGGGCCGCCGGGACTCGAACCAGTGCCCATATGGAATGCCGGTATCACAAGCACCCCACAATACCAGCCCCCACTCTACGACTTCTTTACCCTAGTAGAAATGTTGACAAAACCAAAGCACATTACTCAGCTCTTGGAAACTAAGCAAAAAATAGTGACAAGGACATACAGAAACACAAGAAAAAGACTTGGCGGAATGGTTGTAGGATAATCCACCTGTTCTGTCAGTAGCTGGTATTGATTGCATGCTTTAAACCAAAAGCAAATCAGCTCAAGAACCTTCTTTTCACAGTGTCCTAACTTTTGCTTCATTACACAGAAAAGAAAAAAGTGTTTGAAAAAACCTGACATATGTACAAAACCTAGGAGCACCTTGTATTCTTCCCATTCTTAATAACCGTTAACTATTTGACCTTAGTTAAGTCATGCACTATCTAAATAATTATAGACTTTTAATAATTAACTTCAGGATCTGCCTAGAGTTCAGCCATCTCCTGTAACAGCAGCGTCCTACATGTGATCCCGTTCAAACCCTGGCTGCTCTGTTTTCAATCCTGCTTCCTGCTAAGGTGGCGGGGAAGGCAGTGGAGGATGGCCCAAGTGCCTGGGCCCCTGGCACCCCTTGTGAGAGACCTGGAAGAAGCTTCAGCCTGACCAAGCCCTGCTTATTGGGGCCATTGAGGAGTGATTTTAATTATGCCTTTAAAATAAATAACATTTAAAAAAATTAATTGTTAATAATGATTAGCAACGGAGACTTTTAAACAGCCAAAATAGTAACTCTTACTATTTAAAGGGCAGACTTGGAAAATCCTAGCGAAGATAAGTAAAACTTAGACTGTTCACTCTTATCTTGAGGTTTTGTTGAAAGACACAGAACCAAACCCCCTCCACAAAAATACAAGGGGTCTTCAGAAAGTTAATGAACACATGTGTATTATGGGGGCCAGTACTGTGGTGTAGTGGGTTACACTGCCAGCTGCGACGCCAACACCATATACAGGCTCCACTTACAAGGCAAAGCCCAGCTAGTGAGCCTCGGAAAGCAGCAGCAGATGGCCCAGGTGCTTGGACCCCTACCACCCATGGGGGAGACCTGGACTGAATTTCCATATCCCAGTTTCAACCCAGCCTGACTCAGCCATTTCAGGCCTCCGGGAAGTTCATCAAGAGGGTGGGTGTTCTCTCTATCTGTCCCTCTCTCTGCCTTCCTGCATATCAAATAAAAAACTTTAAATTTTTTTAAAGTGCTTCTGGATTTTTTAGATTAATCAAAATTAAATACAACTTAGAATTCATTCAAAGTGTTCACACATATTCAGTGGCCACCCTAATGGGCAGAACAAATCTAGATCCCACCCACATGCCCCCCTACACAGGTCTAGAAGGAACGAAGGAAGCTGAGCCCACGCTTCTCACCTTTCTGCAGCAGTTCCTTGAATCACTTCATAGACAAAAACCCCAGAACTCACATCAGGAAAGTCCGGATCCTGCCTTTTCATTTCCTGGAGGAGGCTGCAAGAAGCAAGAAGATAAGCAAGGAGGATAGCGTGGCCCCTGAGCCCCAGCCAAAGCCTGCAACTGTCCTGCTCCAGGTTCCAGGTAACGTCAACACGGCATCGAGGCACTCACAGTCACCCTCCCCCAGTGCAGGTGGATCCTCTGTGCCACAGCTTTGGATCCCTGGACAAAATTGAACGCAGCTGCAGTGAGAGGCATCATGTGCAGGCCAAGGCAGTCCCAGGGCCCCTGGCAAACAGGACCCCTGGTCTCCATCGCTTTAGCTTAACACTGTCCAGCCATGGCTTTGGCCCCCATGGATGGAACACATGCTTACTTCAGGGTGAGGGGCAGCATTCGAAGACCCAGGTATTTCTTCTGTGAAAAAGCCTTTCCTGTGAAAGAAAATTACAATGTGTTACTAACCACAAAGCCTCCTTCCTTTTAGGAAAACTTCAAAGACATCAGACTTAGAGACACTCTTTCCTCTTGGTGCACTGTGAAATACATGCCTCGGAAAAACCCTCAGGGCACCCACTCACATCTCTCCCAACCCAGCTCCAAGCCTCCAGCCCTTGGGTCTCTTTTCACTCTGGTTCAGTGCAAATACTGCTGCAGACAGTCCATGCTCAGTTTGGCCACCAGATCCACTCTGAGCAGCATCCTGAAACACACGCAAGAAGGGACCAAAACCCTCCCAGCACCCTTTACCTTTCAACTGGCGCTCGTGGTAGTCTGCCAAGAACTGCCTGATGCGATCTGAGGGAATCGCAAAGGAGATGCCCGCGGTCACCTTCAGTGTATTGATGCCAATTACATCACCATCCTGGAGAGGGAAGAGACCTCATGCAATGGGAGTTGCGCAAGCTGAACAGTGCCAACCGCAGCACACACAGGAAGGGGTGATGTTAGTCCCTTAGAGAGAGGTACCCTGCAGACAGCAATGCAAGTTTTGTGGCAGCAGAGCAGAGCTGCACTTGGGCAAAGTTCTCTGTTCTTCCGAGGTCAAGGAGTCAAGCCAGCTGAAAAGGTTTTTTTTTGTTTTTTTTTTTTTTCATCTTGAGTTCATGGTTTTCTCTTAGAAAGTTACATTGATACTTTACAAGGGCGTCATTTGATACAAATAAAAACATAAGGAGGATTTGCCTTTTCATGACTCTAACAAACCTAGAAACCAGCGTGCAAAAGATGACCTAGCTGCTGGATTTTCAGCAATACTTCAAGGAAGCCACTCAGAAGAATTAGAAAAACCGATGTTAGGCAACTAAGGTCAGCTAAGCTCAAAATGGAAAGCAGAACTTACTTTCCCAGTATCACGCTTCGGCATCTGCTAGCCTTTGCTTGGCAATGGAAAAGACAGCTTTTCAAATACAGATTCTAACTCAGTATGTCTAAAGAGCCTAAAATTCTATATTTTATGTCTGCTCTACTTCATTGTGTCAAAAAAGAAAGATGAGCACAAAAATCTACAATGTTATAAATACAGGGCACTCAATTCTTTCATATATACTGCATGCTCTTCAAGGTAAATGGAGTGAGCGTTTGGCACAGCCGTTTAAGTCACCTGAGACACCATATCCCATATAGGATCCAATGCTAGCTTTCTGCCAAAATGCACCTGGGAGGCAGTAGGTGACAGCTCAAAACCTCGAGTCCTTTCCATTCCCATGGAAGACTGGGGTGGAAATGCCAGTTTCTAGCTTTAACCTGACCCCAGCCCCAACCATTGAGGGTGTCTGGGAAGAGAACCAGTGGATGGGAGCTATCTCTCTGTCTCGAGCTCCCTGCCTTTCAAATAAATAAATAAGCAAACACAAGATTTAAAGAAGAGTCAGACCAATCAGCTCAGATGGGCCTGGGAAGCAGGAGCTAGGCTGGGTGTCCAAGGGCATTGCACTGGCTTATATCTGAGCAACTGGAAACCCTACCCTTGCCACCAAAAGCAAACAAAACTGAAGACAAAATATGGAACAAGGCAATGAGTTCTGGCTGCAGCTCTTCTGCTCTCAGTGGGTCAAGGTGAGCCCCAGGAAGCCATGGAGCGTCTCCATTATGGAATCAGCATTGTTGCATGACACAGCAGCAGCAGGGACTTGGGGGTATATAGACACAGCACAGCTGGTCATTTGGCCTAAATCTGAGTTTAATATCCAGACCGTTGGGTTACTCTCCAAAGAAAACAGAAAGGATATTGAAAGGGAAAACGTGTAACCAGCGAGCCAGTAACCAGGTACTGTCACTCGTGTGAGACCACACTTCAGGAGGATACAGCCACACTAGACCTTGGATTTCTCCTAACTTTGTTCTCAAGACCCAAGGATGGAAGCATACCATTCTACAACCCTCCGTGCAAGCGCAGCATGCCACAGCTGCACTATGCCATTCGGTAAAAAGCCTTTGATGGTTAGAAAGAAACACGAAGCAGCAAGAGCGTGGCCACTCACCAAGTTCACCAGAGGACCCCCAGAATTCCCGTGCTGAAGACAGAATTTGAAAAAAAATAAATACAAGCATCAGTCAAGGCAGTGAATATGTCTTCTTATTGTTCTCTACACAGAGTTTCCAAACAGGGCTAGCTTTAGCAAGCTCTGGAAGCCTCTTATGGCCCGAGAGCAGGGGAAATTGCACCCCTCTCATGACCGGCACTGTGGTCAGTGTGGGCACAACAGAGGGCAGCCACCTGTGATGACCAACAGCAACATGGGCTCCTAGCACAGACCCTCAGAGTCCACCCAGCATCCTGATGCCCACCCATCCTATCCAACAGCCTGATATCAGAATACGCACTATTTGGGAGTTGGCACTGTGGCAAAGCAGGGAAAGCCACCAGTGCACCCTGCATGAGCTGTGCTTCAAGTCCCAACCTCGCCACTTCCCGTGCAGCTGCCTGCTAATGTGCCTGGGAGAGCAGTGCAAGATGGTCCCTGCACCCACCCCTGCTTCCTGGCTTCAGACTGGCCCAGTTCCAGCCACTGTAGTTTGCAGAGTGAGCCAGCAGATGGAAGATGCCTCTTTTTCTCTCTCTCTCTATCTGCCCTTCCCTCTCTCTGACTCTGCCTTTCAAATAAATAAGTAAATATTTTTTAAAAATGAATCGGCGGCATTCCAGTCTTCCCCTGGCAGTCTAACTGAACCCTGGACACCCCAGGGAGCCAAAAGGAAAAGAGGCTGTTGTCGATGTTTGTGTCTCGCTGTGCTGCCCGTGTCTCATGGGCTGAGGACAGGCCTCCTGATGACTCACGTTAATGATGGCATCGGTCTGGATATAGTCCATGTCTGAATCCTTCAGCCCTAGCTCTCTGCCCCCTCGCTGCGTGGTGCTGACAATCCCCGCGGTCACTGTGTCCTGCAGAGAAAATGGGCTTCCCAAGGCCACCACGAACTCTCCAGCCCGCAGGTCCGATGACCTTCCCAGCAGCAATACAGGAAGGTCAGTCTGCGCATGGGGCAAAGAGGGACAAGGAGGACAGGTTAGGTGAGGGACACATCCAGGCAGAACTGGCTGGTCTGGGTGCATCACGTATGTGTCACAGCACTGCTCTGGTTTTAGCATGTACTGTCTACGATGCTCCCATCCATGCAGGTTCCACAGTTGCCTCACATCAGACTGCAAAGCCTCGCTTGTTGAAAATCAGGGTGATCTCTGAGATCTTAAATCACTGTGGTAGCCTAGCACCTAGGGCGCTCGCCTTGAGCATGCCGAAATCCCATATGGCCGCTGGTTCTAATCCCGGCAGCTCCACTTCCCGTCTAGCTCCCTGCTTATGGCTTGGGAGAGCAGTCGAGAATGGCCCCAAAGCCTTGGGACCCTGCACCCGTGTGGGAGACCTGGAGGAAGTTCCTGGATCCTGGCTTCGGATCGGCAGAGCACCGGTGTGGGAGACCTGGAGGAGGTTCCTAGCTTTTGGCTTCAGATCGGCGCAGCTCCAGCAGTTGCACTCACTTGGGGTGTAAATCATCAGACGGAAGATCTTCCTCTCTGTCTCTCCTCCTCTCTGTATATCTGACTTTCCAATAAAAAATAATTTTTTAAAGATTTATTTATTTATTGGGAAGTCAGATATGCAGAGAGGAGAGACAGAGAGGAAGATCTTCCATCCGATGATTCACTCCCCAAGTGAGCGCAGCGGCCAATGCTATGCTAATCCGAAGCCGGGAACCAGGAACATCTTCCAGGTCTCCCACAAGGATGCAGGCTCCCAAGGCTTTGGGCCGTCCTCGACTGCTTTCCCAGGCCACAAGCAGGGAGCTGGATGGGAAGTGGGGCTGCCGGGATTAGAACCGGCACCCATATGGGATCCCGAAGCGTTCAAGGTGAGGACTTTAGCCGCTAGGCCATGCCGCCAGGCCCAAAAAACTTTTAAAAATCACTGCTGAAAGAAATCAGTAGTCATAAACCACCAGCAAAGGAGCTGACGAAGATGAATTGACATCAGCCATCATGGAACCCCATTCTAGTTCAAAAGTTTACAAGATGAACATGCCACAAACAAAAAGCAGAGCTTCCACAGGACCCTTCAGGGATCTCAATCAAGTGCAGTTTCCAAGGCAGGGAGCTGAATGGATTGGAATCTGCCTTTCCAGAAAGCTATGCATGTACCATCTGCAGGTTAACTAATGCTGCTAGGGTACAGGTGAGGCAAGGATACCAAAACATTTCAGCTCATGGCAGTCATTTCTGATAAGCTCAGGCAAGTACAGAAATGATTTTCCCAGAGGCTGTGTCTGTTGAAGAAGGAATTACAGGAGGGAAAAACAAAGAAACAAAAAGGTTGGGGAAGGGGTTGACTGCTGGGCAGTAACTGAAATTATTAGGCAACTCCAGGTTGCCATGGTTGCAAATAAACACAGCACGGAGTAGAAAACAGAATCTAGGGGGTAAAAAAAACCTTCAGATAGGTCTGAATCTTCAAAAAGTTTGTGGAAATTGCAAATTCTGAAACAGAAACTACACATGGATTTCAAATTGCTTTGGCATCAAAATCACCTTTTATTTAGTTTTTTCCACCAACTTTTTAAAGTCCTTTTTACGCTACCTAGGAAAGCCGTGGTGCAGGAGTGAAGAAAGGAAATATCGGCACATACATGGAAAAAATATCTTGCCCTACGCAGACTGTAATTCTTCTAATTCTTAGACTTCAAATACTCACATCAGGTTCAATCTTAATCAATGCAAGATCCAATCTGTGGTCAATGTCCTTGATGGCGGCCTCATACTGGGCCCCGTTCTGCAGCTCCACCCGGATGCGCTGCTGGTTGGTAAGGACGTGAGCGTTGGTGACAATGAGCCCATCCTCAGACACTATGAAACCAGAGCCGCTGGATGAGGGGATGTCCTTGCCGGTCAGAGGTGACCTGTCCCCACAAGAGAACCGCATGAGCAAGGAGCAGTGACACCCAGTGCAGCTCTGGGAATCATGGGAACCTCACAGGGACTAAACACACACACACACACACACACACACACACTCACACACACACTCAGTTGCCTGGAACATTCTTCTGCCCATCAGTGCTTATATTTCCTCCATGGTTTGGGCACAGACAACATACCCGGCCCATGTCCTGCCAACATGATAGACAGTTGGTTCCAACTGCCCTTTTCTAGGAGGTCCTGGCCTCTGTTGGTACACGTGGCAGCCCTGTGGGTCCTAGGCTACAAAGAAGTTAATCCCCATGCAAATACTTCAGACAAAAACAGGCCTAGGACCTCCCCCCCACACACACACATTGTGGCCTAGCAGCTTAAGTCCTCGCCATATGGGCGCCAGTTCTAATCCCGGCGGCCCCACTTCCCATCCAGCTCCCTGCTTGTGGCCTGGGAAAGCAGTCGAGGACAGCCCAAAGCCTTGGGACCCTGCACCCGTGTGGGAGACCTGGAAGAAGCTCCTGGCTTCGGATCGGCTCAGCTCCAGCCACTGTGGTCACTTGGGGAGTGAATCATCAGACGGAAGATCTTCCTCTCTGTCTCTCCTTCTCTCTGTATATCTGACTTCCCAATAAAACAAATAAATTAAAAAAAAAAAAAAAAAAGCAGGCCTAGGAAGCCACAGTATCCAGGACCCATGTCAGGAAACCATCAAAGTTACCTAGTCCTGACTCCTCACTGGTCTAGTAGGACAACCCTGCACCTTCGGGGACTGAGTGTCCTTGCACACCAAACAGGACGCCCAGAGAAAGCCTCCCCACCCACCGCCCTCGGGCCTTAAGTTTTGCCAGAGGAGAAAGAAGCCCCAAGAATTTCTGCTCATGCGTCATGCCCCTAGTTAGTACTTGGAAACCAGATTGCTTGTTCCTCTGCTCTTGGGCTACATGTCCTTGAAACAGGTGTTTCAGCCTCTCTGAGCCTCGACAGCCTTCTAGGATTTAGGTGTGTGGTTGGACCTCCCAACAAAGCCTTTACCTGCGGAACAGCTGCAAGTGAACCACAGATGGCGCCACCTTCTCCACCACGGTGGCGATGAAGTTGTACTTGCTCCGGAGCTGGCCTGTGCTTCTGGTTCCTAGGAAGCAACGTTTGGTGCTTACGGCCCTGTCGGGTGTCTTTGCCCACAAACACATTCTCTCTCCCACCGCGAATGAGGTGACGTGCCAGGCTCACCTGGGTCCCCGCAGCCACCCTTCTGTATGGGCACCGCCGGGAGTGCGCCTCGAAGGCGCGCGGCACGGTTCTCAGCACGGAGTGCGCACAGGCTGGGGTAGGTACGCCCGTCGCTGCCGCACACGGCCGCATCCTCCTCCGGACAGTCGCAGGTGCCGAGCCAGCTGCCTCTGACCGGCTTCAGGTGGCACTGCAGCCCTGGGGCGCACGGCCGGCCCCGCAGCCCGCCGCAAGCTTCGCCCTCCGCCCCGGCGCAGACGCGGCAGCAGCGACAGCGGTCCAGCACTGGGGGCATCCCCGCGGAGCAGGTGGGCAGCGGCGGGCAGCGCATCGGCTCGCAGACTGCGGGGCACGGAAGCAAGGGCCTGGACCTTCTCGCCTCGACCTTTGGGGTAGGCTCAGGGGACAGCAGCAGCAGCAACCACAGCCAGAGGCAAGAGCCGAGCTCAGCCGGCAGCCGCTGAGGTCTGGTCATGCTGCTCCCCTTGGCTGTCTGCTTCCCCCTGTTCCAGTTACTTCACTCTGGCCCCGAAATGAAGTGAGCAATACTTTCTCTGGGCTGGGACGTCACCTCCGCCAGTCCCCAGGCTTTAAGGGACAGACCTTGGCAGACCTCTGCAGAAACACACCCCAGCGGTGGCACCAGCGTCCAGCCGCCCAGGGACCAGGCCTGTCCCTCCTCCCTTCTCCCCTCCAGGCAGTCCCCAGTCCCGGGACTGGTCTGAGCCATAAAAAACAACAGGGGCAGACTAAGGAAAAAAGTGATCCACCCACGGCCAGAAGGTCAGTGTGGGGCAAACGGTTGACAGCTCCTCAGTCATTTCCCATGGTTTTATTACAAAACAAGCAACAAAACAGTTTTAGAAAATTATTCTTGTGTTACATACCAATGAAGAGATCACATAAAATGAGAAGCAGGCACAGTCTGCACACAGCCCAGCCGCGCTTACAGCCGAGTGCGTTTCACAGCTCAAACACACAGAACTAGTTCAAAACACAGTCCAGCCACACATCCCGGACTGGAGGGAACAAGGGTGCAGAGTGCTGCTGCCAAACGTGTCGCTCTGTCTGCACTCCGCTTAGCAGAAATGACTAACTGCTGCAGGAAGGAACAGAGACAAACGGGGACCCTGGGGGCAGAAAAGCAAGGGTGGGAGATGCTTCTAGAAGAGACGCAGGAACCTCGTCCACGCCAGTCATGCTCACAGCTCCTGAAGCTGACGTGGGAAACTCACTTTCCAAAATGCTGTTACCCCATATGCTGGTTGAACTGGTTGACGCCCGAAAACCAATCTGCTAAACTACCAATTCTCTTTATTGATAGGGACTTTGGGGCTGGTGTCCGAGCATGCTTAGGTTCAAAAAAAGAGAGGGGAAAAGTTTGCTTCAAGTAAACGAAGAAGCTAGATCTTAAATCTACTTTCTTTCTCACCGGAGCCCAGCATTCAACTCAAAACCAAACGTGGAAGTCCATCATTTGGACCTAATATACACCTATGTGTATATTATGATAGCTTACAAAACGCAAAGGGCCAAACCGTTTTCACCAAGCCACTGGCCAAGAGCAAGCAAGCCCTTCAGAGCTTGCAGGAACAGTGGAGGGGTGAGCATAGCGTCTGAAATACTGTTGCAAACAAGGTCAAGATCACATCAAAAGCCTTCTAAGGGCCAGCCCAACTCAGAGAAGGCTTTCAACCCACAAACAAAACAGTTACCTTCTTTCTACAATTCACTTATTCCAAAGCCTATTGCCCACAGCTTATCCTGCACCCTCACTCTATTTTTTTCCCCCTATTTGGTTCTATTTTAGACATTTCAACACTAAATGCTTTGGTCATGCGTGCACCGTCTTTGGCTCACAATTAGAAGGTCATAGTGTGAAATCACCCAGCAGGTAAGAAAGAGGGACATGAAATGAGAAATGAAAATTGAAATGAGATTTGGAAATGAGACTGCAGAGCTCATCGTACTTTTTATATTGGAAGACTGACAATGTTGTAACTTGAACTTCCCAAGTATTTGACAGTGAGAGTCCTTGTTTTCCCTTTATCAAGACAATACAATCTGGACTGCAAATATGTTTCACACACACTCTTAAAATAGATCTTACTGATTAGGAATGCTGCCACTTCACAACAGCCACTGTATTTAAGACTAGCAATCTAGCAGACAGTTTCAACAAGACAGACATGGGTAGAGTTACGCAATGAAAACGTGACATCTTTGCCATTAGTTGGGGAATGTTTAAGGACATCTCTGAAGCTCTTTACGTTTCTCCATTAGTTCCATGTTAAGTGACGTACTTTTTCTTTGGGCAGCTGAAGAAGTTTCTTTAGGAAAATGTTACAGTGAAGTTAGAAATAAGGAATTTGAGGAACTCAGAATGGCCTCTGGAAGTCAGCCTACCCAGAACATGATGTCGAGTCTGGGCCGTTCCTAAGCCAGGATATGAGAACAAAAAGTACTTAAGTGTATAGAAAGGAAGAGAGTGGGGGGAGAGAAAGCTAAAGAGATGCAGTGGTGAATTTCTTTCTTTTAGGCCAGGACCAAAAGATCAAACTTTATGTTAGTAAGGGACATGGCTGGACCAGTTTCTTAGTGGGACTCAGACTACAGGGAAACTGCACTTCCTGAGACACAAATGTTTCTCCTTAGGCACCAGGGATTCTTCTCATCAAACAATTCTTCCATGCATCAGATAGAGACACAGGAGAAAGGGGATTTACTTAGAGAAAAATATCTATCTTAGTCTCCTCCCTCTAAACACTAACATAACATTGAATGATCTAGCTGCTCAAAGTTACAGAAATGGGCTGTGTTCGGTGTGTACTGGGGAGCTCCTAGGAAGTTCGCATTAGCATCTCATCAGCTATGCCGGCTAGACAGATTCTCCCAGAGACATGGGAAAAAATGGAAGAACAAAAGGTGTTGCACTTAAAAGGAAACCCAACTTTCCTCTGCTCTTCTACCTGGAATGTCCCTAGCTAGAGACTTATGGCTTCTAAGTCAGTGATTCTACGCCCAGTTCCTACTTCACTCAACACACAGATGTCTCAGGACTACCTCTGCCTCGCTCCCGTTAAGTGCAGGGAACCCTCGTCACATCACGGGGTTTGATCATGCGTGCACACCAGGATTCATCCAAAGAGCAACACAAGGAATAAAAGAGAAAGCAGGCATTTGACCTACGGGTTAAGAGTGCCCGGCTGCGTTCATGTCCTGGCTGTGTTTCCGATTCCAGCTTTGTGCTAACACACCCTGGGTGGCAGCAGTCACGGCTCAAGCAGCCCAGTCCCTGCTACCCACTTGGGTACTCACAGCTCCCAACTTCTACCAGGGCCACCCAGCTCTGGTCGTTGTGGGCATTTGGAAAGTAAATGTCTTGTTCCTCTCTCTCCTTTTGCCTCTCCAATAATAGAAAGAAAAACAGTACATCAGCCAGGGCCTACAAAACACTGCACTTGACATTATGCCAATCTTGGTCAATGCAAGAAGCAGCATGTGGCATGGGTTCAAGGTAACTGATCTTTGCCAAAATGGGACTTTTCTGCTGCCTGGGAAACGTGAATGATGAAGCTTAGCTGCATGAACTGTAATGCCCCCTTCCAAGCACCTGCTTTAAAGCTGATGTGAAACCCCAAAACCGAGATCCATCCATCACACACTTCACAGGTTCTCCAACCTGCCACCCGTCCCTGATAACACTATGTCATGGAAATTCGGTTCTCAGTAACATTTAACACTGCTGAACCAGACACAGAAACTGGGTTGGTAGGTCTGTAGTATACATTTAGAGCATTTTAGACAGAGGGCATCTAGAGGAGACGAACATAGTTTCCGAAGCTGGCTGCCGCACTGGGATGAAGTTACTCCCCTCACCCTCCAAGAGGTCCCCATCTCTTCCCCAGGATCTGATGTCCAGCCCCCAAATTTTCACAGCACCTCTCACAGTGCATCCCGACGATGCTGAGGCTTGGGGCTCCCATCGCCTCCCTGCCTATCACCCTCCAATGCACAAGCCTCAATCCATATACAGGAATGGGCTAACACCGAGGAACTAACCTATGGTTCTCCGCCTGGACTGGATAAACTAAAACATGGCACAAGGCAAAAGAAAAAAAAAAAAAAACTGGCTTAGAGGTGCACCTGAACTCCCATGGGCCTCTGGAAAGGAACCGCCTCCCAACCCTCGGAGGAGTTCAACAAAGGGCACCCTGCTCTCCAGTGAGGAGCCTACAGGTCCAGCCCAGTGACCTTTCCCAACTTAAATACACTGCATCAATATTACAAAGAGTGAAATAAAAAAAAAAAAAAAAGCCAGTTAGATGAGCCCTTCCCAGAAGCATCCACAGGAATACAGGTGCCACCCAGGCCTCTGGTCACCCCTCCAACAAGGCAGGGAAGCTGAGACACAGCCGCCTTCTCTCCAGACATCCTTCCCTCCCGTCCTCCCTCCCTCTAGGCTGCATCACACATCCGAGGTCCGAATATTCTCATCGTCAAGGTTGAACACGAAAGGTTTCTCCTTGGGGTGCTGGGGCTCCGATCTGTGCCTCATCCGGGAGCCGGACAACGCCCCAGCGGTGCTGCTCTCTCCGCTGCCCAGTCGAGGCAAGAACAACGGATCCCCCAGGGTCTCTTCGGTGGGCAGCATCTTTTCCGTGGCCTGGGGCACAGGTGTCCAGGGCTGCCAGGAGGCGGCTACCGAGGGAGCTTTGCAGAGGGTTTTCTTTTCTTCCACGGGTGGCCGTCTGCCCAAAACGGAGTTGACGCCACCCGAAAGGCTGGAACTTCCAGGTCGTGTCAAAGAAATGGATCTGGAAAAGGATAATTCCTACAGGACCAGACGGGAAGAAAAAGGCAAAGTCAGGACTTCTCCCAACAGTGTCAGCCCCCAAGTCCCAGCCCAGGACCACCCCCATCTTGGGCTCACGCATGCCCCGTGGGTCACAGTCTGCCTGGCACATCAGAAAACCCTGCTTCACCTCCTCCAACAACCAGAAGAAAAAATGTGTTTCCAAAGGAGCAGAAGCAGAAAAATAAATCAAACACCTGAGTCTTCAAGTGCCCGTCCGGGCCAGATGCCCACATCACTAAGTACACTACGCTGGCTTGAGGGGGCTGCATCTCTTGAAATTGACTGTACGCAGTGAACAGGAAGTGACTTACCCTGGGGTGGCACTTGAGGGCCTGGGCAGCTGCCCCGATCTCCTTAATCCAGCTGTGCATGTCTTCTGGACTATCCGCCTGTAAAAACAGTTACAGCGCTGAGACAGGACTCCCTGGCACCGCCAGTTGAGTTTCCCAGTCTGACTCAGTGCAAAGTTTCATAAAATTCCCTGGCAGGGATCTCAGAAACCACCTAGCCCACTGGCTGCCAGCCTGCTGACGGCATTTTTCCCCCTCCTTGCGATAACTTATATGATACCCAGTAAATAAATCGGAAACGGAACTGCTCCCAAGTGGGTCAGAGGTCAAGGAGCTGGCGAAGGACTGACAGCTAGCGGAGCCCTGATTTTAACAGCCCCGTTCAGGAGGATTTGCAGAGAGGTTTGGCTTTTGTGGGGCTGTCACTGAAAGCAGGTCATTCTGTTCTGATAACCAGGATTGGAAAAAAAAAAAAAAAATGGCTAAGTTGAGAACAGGAGAACTCGAATCTAAACCAGCCACAATAAACCTTGCGCTCTCTGCTCTGGACCAACCAAGGGACCATTTCAGTGCATAAATAAATAAATAAATGTCTTCAAAAATTTCACAGACATAAGCGTTACGCAAAAACTGCAGGAATTTCAGAAATAGTTTGCGTCTGAATAAACTTATTTTTTAGCGCCATTTTTTTTCCCGTGAACTTTTTGAAGCATCCCGAACATTATCATATCTGAACAAGCCAGACCTCAAGTGTGGCAGGATTTGGAAAGCCAAACTTAAGGCACAAAGTCTGGCTGTGCAGTGCAGAGTAACTGTTTGATCCTCAGAAACAACTGGTCAACCCCAGAAGGGGGCAGCAGCGGCTCTAGGAACAAGAGGGAGGCACACCCAGAGGCAGGGCCCCTGCAGCTGAGCTGAGCTGCACCCACAGCTGCAGGCAGTTCCGTCTAAGGGAACTCAGCCCGTGACAGCTCCAAGCTGCCTCAGGTGCTGCTGGTCACGGCCATGGGCCCCCAGCTGAGAGCCCACTACGTGCCTCCGCTGTGCCCTCTAGCACCTCCCCTAGGAGTCCCAGCCGAGCACAGAGGAGTGCACCTATGTCCATGTGCAAACACGGCTGCGAACATCCCACACTGATCTCCAAATGTTCTCTGCATCCTCCCCATCACTTTCTCCATCTCCTCTTTTCGCATTAACAGCATACATAAGGCCAAATTTCTTTCTCAAGCCTCAAACCGATGTTTCTATCACCCATTCCTGGGCCCCCCAAAACAAACCCTGGTGGGTTGGCTAGGTGCAGGAGGCGCCCACCAAGGAAGCTGAGAAAGGTGACAGCAACAAGTGCCAGCAGGGGGAAGGAGGGCACCCCTCTCACCTCAACTCTACTTGCAAACTGGACTTTTGTATTCCGGGGCTCTCCTTGACTTTTCCCAGCTCTGTCCCTGACACGCTAACTGCAGGTAATCCCTACCTCAGATGAATGAAGTGTTAAGATCAAAGATCTTTGCAAGGGGGTGGGGAGGGGGATGGAGGTCTTCGTCCATCAAAGGAAAAGCATTTATCATTAGAGATTCCCTTCCTAGGGTCAGGACGGAAGCCCAGAGGGAGTTAGAGAGGCACACACTTGGAAAGCCTCCGGAGGACCACCCCCAAATCACTGTCCTGCAGTTGCTGAGCTACTTTCCAGGAACCTCAGCAGCACACGCAATGTCAGCCCACGAGCCACGGGCCACCCATCTGATCTGCTCTGAGTCACCCTCACCAGGCACTGACACCCCATTACCCTAAACCTTCGTACTCGGCAAGGAATCGCTGGATCAAAGAAAACCAGGAGCCATCAGGATGCGGATACGTTCATCACAATGAGTTGTTTTCTCTCTCTCTCTCTCTCTCTCTCTCTCTCTCTTTTCTTAAAAAATTACATATTTAGGGCCTGGCGCAATAGCCTGGGGGCTAAAGTCCTCACCTTGAACACACTGGGATCCCACATGAATGCCATTTCTAATCCCAGCAGCCTCGCTTCCCATCCTGCTCCCCGTTTCTGGCCTTGGGACCCTGCATCCACCTGGGAGACCTGGAAGAAGCTCCAGGCTCCTGGCTTCACATCAGCTCAGCTGTGGCTGTTGACACTATCTAGGGAGTGAATCAGAGGTTGGAAGATGTTTCTTTCTGTCTCTCCTTAGCTCTATAAATCTGCCTTTCCCATAAAAATCAATAAATCTTTTAAAAAATGTGCTAAGGTGTATAACAACATGGAAAAATACTAAGATATGACGTATTCTCTTATTTAGAAAACAAATAGCAGAGTTAAACAATATATCGATATTTGTCTTCAAATTAAGTTTTGGGGTGCTTTCAACTCTTTTATTTTCCAGCATTTATTTTGTGACTATCCTTTACGAGGCCTTATTACATGCAAATAGGAAAAGGGGATAATAGCAAACTGCATTAGATCATTGCTCAAGAATAGTTAATAGGAGCCAGTGTTGCAGTGCTGCGTATTAAGCTGCTGTCTGCAACACCAGCATCGCATATCGGAACACTGGTTTGAGTGCTCTGCTTCTGATCTGGGTCCCTGCTAATGCACCCAGGAAGGCAGGGGATGATGGCCCAAGTACCTGGGGCCCTGAACTCATGGTCCAGGTTTGGTCCAGCCCAGCCTCAGCCACTGTGGCCATTTAGGAGTGAATCAGTGATTAAAGATTCATTCGCTCTCACTCCCTTCCTTTCTGTGTAACTCTGCCTTTAAAGTAAATAACCAAATGCTTAAAAAAAAAAAAAAAAAGAAAGAAAGAAAGAAAAGGAGAGCTGAAGGCCACCCGCCGCATGGTGAATTACTGAGAAACTAAAAACTTCTGAAAACCGAGGAACAAAAAAAACCTGCTACATTCACACCTTCCTTAACTGCCCGACGTGCGAACAGCGTGTGCATTTGCTTGTGGCACTCGGTTCAGACCAAAGGCTGGGTTTCCATCCTGGAGGGCAGTTTTTCAGGGTCAGAGGACCAAAGGTGTCACAATGCAGCCTGCGGCTTCATCGCAGTCCGGTGAGCTCCATCAAGTAACGACGGGGAGCCCAGTGCTCTGACATGCCGAGTCCAGAAGCAATGCATTCCAGAAGCCATCGCAGAAGGGCTCCAGTGCCTGCCTCTGTTGTTGTTGCCCTTGCTCCTTCCAAACTACCGAGGCAGCTCCCCCCTTCCGGAGCCTCTCTGCCCGACAAAGGACTTGCAGCCCTTTTCTGAAAACCAATGCCATGTTGGTACACAGCCCTGCCACCCCCATGACTCCAGGTGCTGTCATTCACCTTGCAGTCTAACTTAAACAAGTGAGTATCCACAAAGCTTTAGGCCTGTACTCTGACTACGACTCATCTTGTTTATTTTGAAAGGCAGACTGACTGACACAGAGGGAGAACATTTGATCTGGATGATGCCTCAAATGGCTCCCAGGCCAAAGCCAGGATCCAGGTAACTCCCATGCAGGTGGCAGGGGCCCAATCACCTGGGCTGTCTTCCAGTGCTTTCCCAAGTGCATTAGCACAGAGCTGGGACTCAAACTTGGGTTCCTATCGGATGCTGGTGTCAGAGGTAGGAGCTTAACCAGCCAGTACCGACCAATCCCCTGGCCTGCCAGCAGTGCTAACTCGTCCTTACAGGGCAGTCTAGTCCCAACAACTGAGTTAGTAACCAGTTGTCAAGTCACATTTATACTTAATGCATTTATCATTTCAAGTAACTGACCCAACTTCTCAATAACCTGCATAACACCCTTGAAAATAAATAAGTGGCTGACCACTGCTAATCTGACAGCCCAAGAATTAAAATCATATGTATCCATTTGCTGACCAACTTGCCACTAGCACCTGTCTAGAGACCCCATTACTACAGATACTGAATTTTTGGTCACTCCATTTGCCCAGATCCCCAGTTACCCTACACTGGTCTCCCCTGATGCAATCAGGCATCCTCGGTTGTTTACAGCCACACTGTTAATAATAATTAGGGTTCTGGACCAGGCTGCACTTCACAGAACTAAGTCTAGTTCCAGCACCTACCACTTTCCAGTCAGGTCTATAATTTACTGGACTTATGAGACTGGACAAATATAGGGAAATTTTAAGAAATTAAAGGAAAACAGAATTAAAAGAGAATTTATTGTGGTGCAAAAAAATATTAATCTATGTGTAGTTTTTCCATGATAAGGATTTTCCAAAAACTTATTGAAGAATCCACATGGATCTAAAAAAAAAAATCTGCACCATAAGAAGCTTCTCTTTTATTCATTTTAAAAATTGTATTTACTTATTTGAAAGGCAGAGAGAAGGGCAAAGACAGATTATCCATCTGCTGGTTCACTCTCCAAATGACGCTAGCCATCAAGGCTGGGCCTGGCGGAAAGCAAGCAGCTTGGAATTCTAGCCAGGTCTCTCACATCGGAAGAACAACTGCCTCGTCTTCTGTAGCTTCTCCAAGCACATCAACAGACAGCACTCAAACGAGCGTTCATATGACGCCACAGCCTCGCTGTCTGGACCACAATGTCAATCCCATCTTTCCATGAACTTCTTGAAATATCCATGTCATCTGTTGTTATAGACTCCGTTTCCCCATATGCAAAATGCAAATGATTTCGGAGACTCCTGAGAAGCCAATGCCAGCGTGTTGCTTGGCGTGTTCAGTGTCTGCTAAACAGCGAAGACTGTTACGGTGTGGGATACAGGGTAAAATGATCCCTACGTGGGACACAGACATGACAGAGAAGTGAAATGACCGACGCGTGCATGGTGAGAATCCAACCCAGGTCTTTCTCTCCTAAGGAGCGCTATTCTCTGCCCTGATCAACCCTGCTGTCAGGCCAGCATCCCTAAACACTGAAGCTAAACAGCTCTTGCTGACAGATGTACTGGTCGTATCTCAGAAAGCAGTGGGCAAAACTGCTGGCATCTCAACACCAAATCGTACATGCAGTCACCTTTGGCGCTCGGGGAAAAAAAAAAAAAAATTGGCAGCCAACACAAACTTACTCGGATATCCTGTAGACTTTTTCCCCAAGACGGATGAAATGATCCTGTAATGTTGGACAGTATTTCCTTTGCCAGTGACAAATTTCGGTCTTTTGAAGCAAAAATTAGAACTTCAGAAAACATCTATCTAGCTCCCTGGGCTTGACAGCGTTCCATAGTTAAAGACACCACTAAGGAACATCAGTGGCAAAGCAAATGGCATGATTTTGTGACACTGCAGAACCCCGGTATCTGAGTATCCAGATGACCAGTGTATACCGTTACAAAATCATGCCTGAATAAAAAATGTTATCTATTCCAAGTACAAAATGAACCAATGGATTTCAACCTAAAACTGGGGTCGTTTTCTGCGGGTATGCCTTAGGTTCCGTGTTTCGCCTACCTGTTAAGGAGGCACCATTTGTTAGGCTGGGGCCATGTGGCTCAGCCCCCACCTGCATCACATTGTCACATGGGCCACAGTTCAAGCACCAGCACCTTCCCCTCCAACCCTGCTGCCGGCCAGCGGCCTGGGAAGGCAGCGGACGGTGGCCCAAGCTTGGGTCCCTGCACTCATATGGGCGACCACTCCTGACTTCGCACAGCCCCAACTCTGGCCGCCGCATCCATTTGTGGAGTGAACTGGTAATTGGAACATCTCTTTCTCGGTCTTACCTTTCCTGTTACACTACCCTTCAAATAAAAATGAAGTCTCAAGAAAATCACCATTTGTGAAGCTTCAATATAAAATCAAAGACCTCCCAAATGATCTAAATAGGCTATGAAAATATTCTTGATTTGCAAACGTGTATCTGTGTGAGGCCAGATTGTCTTCAGATTCTCCCATCAAAACAACATATGGTCACAGATAAAATTCAGAAGCAGATATGAGGAAAATGTTGTTACCTTCTAATTAAGTCAGCAATTAAAAGAATATGCAAAAATATAAAAACAGTGCAAACTTTCTTTGTAATTTCTTGAAACATTGTTTTTTTTTTTTCATAAATGTGTTAACATATAATGAGTTCATGGTTGCTGTTTTTAGGTGAGTTAATAAATATTTTCAGTGACTTTTTTAAGTCTGCGTTATTCTGGTACTTTTCATTCTGAGTTTGGTGCCATAAATAGATGTGTCCCTTTGCTGCCTTGTTTATTTCAGGCAATGCTCATGTTCTTTTATTGCTGACGAGGGGGTGGGGCGGGGGGAGAACAGAACACAAACGTGGACAAAGCAATGAGAGACTGTCTTGGCAAATGTGCACATGGCCATGAAGATGTCGCAATGCATTTTGAATGCTGTGTGTTGTTGTTGTCTGTGTCCCAGACCGTTGTCATTAGTACAAAGCTCTCTCCCAAACTCGCCACCAGCAATATCTTCCTCTTACAAACACCTATGGAGCGTCATGAGTGGAACGCAGTGCAAGTGCTTGGGCCCCTGTCACCCACTTGGGGAAGCCTGGATGAAGTTCCTAGCTTCACCTTGATCCAGTCCTGGCCATCGTGGCTACAATGCCATGAACCCAGATTCCCTCCCCCTGCACACTGCTAGGCAGCCTGGGCTGGGAACTTGGCCCTTATTAGGGCTAGAGCCCCTGTTGGGACGCCTGCTTTTCCAGCTCCTATGACTTTGGAAGATGTTGGGAGGACTCCAGAGCCACGGGTGGAGAAGGAGCTTCTGCCAAGCGCCCCGTCACAGCCCAAACAATGGCTTTCTCTGTGCAGCTGGGTCTTGCACCTGGTGCCTGCGCAGCGCCCTCTGCGCTTCTGTCCTTCCGCACAGTGATGCCCACACGTAGACAGCACTTATAAATACCCTCTAAAGGAGAAGTGAAACCACTGGCCAGTTCCCCTTTTCTCTGCTTAGCTGCAGCCCAGCAGCTGAGAGCAGTTGGTACAAACTCGCTTGCCCCCAGTGCAATGGTTCAACGTGCTCTTATTATTTTATGGTCGGGAAGTCTTGGGCAAACATCCTGTTGAAAATAAAATGAGACTTGGGGGCGGGGGGAGCTAAACTTATCCCACCACCACCACCACCACCTGAAACCTCAAGCAAAATAAAAGAGAAAGCAAAGTCAAGGGCAGGCCTGTCAGTGAGCCTTCCAGAGGGGGTATTTACCTGCACATAGAAGGTCCTGGAGCTCGTGATGATTTCAAACAGGTTGTCCCTCATTAAGAGATCGCTGCACAAAGACAAGGATGAAGTTAGCCAGCCTGCTGGCGCACACACCAAGGACTTCCTCTGTCCAGGCACTGGCCCCCGACTACCACTGAAAGAAGGACAGTGGGACCTTCCAGGCCATTCCTCACTCCACCCCTGCCCCTTCCCTCGAGCCTCACCTCCTTGAGGGGCTCAGCAGCCCCTGTGATCCCGGTGGACTCTCCCGCACACCTCAGTTCTGACAAGACAGAGCCTCCTTTGCCCCCACAGTCCTGCCTGTCAGTTCTCTTCACCTTTCTTAGTACTTAAGACGCATGGGATGATGCATGAAAATATTAGGTTTTGTGGGCTTTTTAAGAAGATTTATTTTATTCATTTGAATAAAGATTTATTTTAGGGATGGGTGGGAGGCTGGGTGGGGCTCTTCCCTTTGTTTCTCCCCTGACCCCAGATACAGGGGAAAAAATGATGATATTAGTGTGGAAACAATGATATTACCCACTGTCCAGTAGCCCCTGATCCTCTGTACCCTAATCAACCAAGATCATCTTTAAAAATAAATTATGGAAACTTAAAAAAAAATGATTTATTTTATTTATTTGAAAGGTAGAATGACAAAAAGAGAGAGCCTATGAATGAATGAATGAATGAATGAATGAATCTATCTACTGGTTTACTCCCCAGATAGCCACAAACCCAGGGCTGGGTCAGGCCAAAGCCAGGAACCCAGACCTTCATCCAGGCCTCCCATGGGAGCTGGCAGGAGCCCAGGTACTCGGGCCATCTTCTGCTGCTTTCCTAGGTACATCAGCGGGAAGCTGGATCGGAAGCAGAGCATCTGGGATTCAATTCACTGGACGCCACAGGTGGAGGCTTGCCCACTGCCCAAAAACACAGAGCCCTACCGCACTATTCTAGGTGTTTCTCTGCGCATGATTTCATCAAACCTTCACAAAAACTCAGCACTTAAGATTTTCTCCATTTCTTGTCGAGCAAAGTCAGGCTCCAACACTCTATAGGACTTGTCTACGGTGCCAGAGGTTTGAAGCCAGATCCAACCCAGAGTCTATGTCTTCTTCACTCCTGTGGGAGCCAACTCTTCATTTCCAAAACCTCCCGCCCCCTCGGCGGCATCCCCAGCATTTTCACTCCACTCCTGCTCTTTGCCTCACTGCACTGAGCCCAGGCGGACAAGCAGCCAAGGAGGAGAAAAGCGAGGTGAGTACCTAACAAGGCTTCATACAGGGTGTGGTTTTGGGAAGAGAAATCAATGCTGACTTCTACAAGGACAAGGGCAGCGAAGAGCTGATGCTCAGGGTCAAACCTCAAATTCAGCCCAGATTAATTACAGTGTGAAATGCCTGTGCAGTCACTAAAGACTGAAAGCTCCAATTCCCACCTTAGGAAAAACCAGAAGGCAGACATATGCAATCAGATGTTTGGAGTCACACTATTTGCCAAGAGCTAAAACAACACCAGTAGGGCTTTGCACAATGGCCTGGTGGCTAAATCCTTGCTTTGCATATGCCGCGATCCCAAGTGGGTACCAGTTTGTGTCCCAGCTGCTCTGCTTCCCTTCTAGCTCCCTGCTATTGGCCTGGGAAGGCAAGAGAGGATGGCCAGAAGCTTGGGATCCTGCACTCATGTGGGAGACCTGGAGGAAGTTCCTGACTCCCAGCTTCCCATCGGCTCAGCTCTGGCCATTGTGGCCACTTGGGGAGTGAACCAGCAGATGGAAAATCTTTCTCTCTGTGTCTCCTTCTCCGTGTATCTGCCTTTCCAATAAAAATAAATAAATCCCCAAACAAACAAACAAACAAGCTCCAGAAAAGGACTGAGCACAGTCAGCGCTGCCTTTGAAATGGCAGGGGCCTGGCCAGTGGCACGGGAACGGGCAGAAAGGGGAGCAGTAGACCAAAGCTGTGTGTGTGTGCAGAGGAGCAAGACAGGGCTCAGACAGGCCCAAGATCTAACCCCGACGGGTTTACAGAGAGGGCATTTCTGGCTGTTAGTAAACTACGGAGGGTGGACCGGACGCAGGGATGGAGGCATCACCGGAGACAGCTCCATCCCACATTGCAGTGCAGGACTTAAGTCTTGGCTCCACTCTCGATTCCAGCTTCCCACTAACTCACACCCTGGCAGGTGGAGGGTGATGGCTCAAGCGGTTGTCTTCCACTGCCCACATGGGTGATCCGGACTGTGTGTCCAGCTCCCAGCTTTGGCCTGGCCCAGCCTTGACTGTTTTGGGCATTTGGGGAGTAAAGCAGTGGATAAGAGACCTTCATCTGTCCATCTCTCTCTCTCTCTTTCAAAAAGCAGATATTTAAAAGTAAAAACCTCACAAGCTTCCGTGAAGTCCTCAAGTACTAAGCGGAGGGGGGAACAGCGTCCTTTATCCATCAGGGAGTCAGGACAGAAGCACCTGGCACATGCGTGTCAGCACAGCCCCCTTCTGAGTTGAAACCGCTCTTCTTCCTGACTTAAACGGCTCATGCATTCAAACCATCCATGCATAGATGAGCACAGAGCAAGCACAAACGCAACGGCTGTGGTGGTAAGATCAAAGCAGGTGGGAAGCCCCCACCCCTTCCACATCTGCCCGTTGCTTTCGACTCAATTCAGTGTAACCAAACACACGCAAGTGCGTTACTCAGATGGGCTCATCCCTGCGTCCAGCTTCCGGTCAAACAGTCCAACAGCCACATACACTGCCTGCTCCAGAGACCTCCTTTCCCATGGGCTCCCACTCCCTTCACTTCTACTCAGAATTTGGTGTTATTCTGGCAGAGGTTTAGGGGAGAAAAGCATGAAATGTTCTTAGCTTAGAATCCCCACCCCTGTTTCTCCATAATGTGCCAACCTGCCCCAGGGCAGGGCTGATGCTTGCATTAGTGACATCCCATGCCAGAGGGCCAGTCTGAATCGTGCTTGCCCTGCTTCCAATCCAGCTTCCTACTAATGTGCCTGGAAGGACAGCAAAAGTCGGATGGAGGCTTTGGCTTCAGCTTGGCCCAGGCCTAAATATTGTGATCACCTGGGGAGTGAACCAACAGAAGGAGAATTTCTCACTCAATCCTTCACCCTTCTTCATTCTTATCTTTCAAATAAATCTTCTTAAGAGATGCTTAGGGGTTCTCTCATCTGCAGGAGCCGTCCAGAGTGAGGCATAATCAGGGTCCTCCAAGGACCTAGACAGGCCCAGTTTTCCCGGTATTCACAGTGGGTTTCTGGAGCCAGGCTCCCGGTGCTTCCTCCCACGGCTTCTCCTGTGACCTCGCCAATCTGTGCTCTGCAGCAACCGTCATTTGTTGCCTTTGCCTCTGCTTCCTCGGCTCACACAGAACCTTGCTCTCCCACAAGACCTTCCACGCCTTTGTGGAAGAACAGGCAACCCTCCTCAGACAACGATGGCTGCAGGCTCTGCCCGCACACCCCACAGGACGGAGAGATACAAGCGCAGTGTCTCAGGTCCACACACACAAATGGCCCCGAAGAGGACTTCCAGAGGCAGAGAATCACCAAGGTTTAGTTCCAGGTGCAACTGTGTTTGGGATTGGATGTGGGAGATCCCTTAGCCAGGTCTCAAATGCTTCCTTAGTGCTCCACTGCCCTTGAAAGGTAGCTAATCCCTAGTGGAAAGAACATACTAAAAATATGTGTTATTCATATCCCAACGAGGATAAGAGAGACACTGTGGGTCACCCTCGGTGTTAATGGACTGAAAGGGTCAAAAGGAAGGGACAAGAAGAGGCTTAAGAAGCCAAGAGAGGCTGCCTCCGCATGAGCTGATGCCAGTGAGTACGGGCTTGATGTCCCCGGAACCGTGAGCAGCAAGTACCCCAGGAACAGCAAGCTCTGCTCTCCTTCTCCATATTGACATTTTTCTTTTCCTCCACTTTTTTTATTTACTTGAAAGGCAGAATTTTAAAAAGAGATAAGGAGACACTGAGAGAAAAAAAAAAAAAGACCTCCTAACTGCTGGTTTCACCCTCTCAATGGCTGGGCCAAGCCAACATAAGGAGCTTAGAACTCCATCCGGGTCTCCCACATGGGTTGCACAGGCCCAGGCATTTAAGACCATCTTCTGCCACTTTCCTAGGCACATTAGCAGGAGCTGGATTGAAAGTGGAATGGCCAGGAATCGAATCGATCTTCATAGAGGATGCTGACATCCCAGGAAGCTCCATAATACCAGCCCCTCTACCTGAAATGATGAGAGACTCAGTGGCTTAGCAGTGAGAGTAAGGCATCTAAACAGTCTCGGGATGTCAGACAAGACTCTGGGCCCCCACTCCCCACTCCTGGAAAAACATAAGGACTGGTGAAGAGAGCCCCAGAAGAGCGGAAGTGACAGTGTGAGCCAACAAAGGCTGTACAGTAGAAACCCAGCTATCAGCAGAGAAACAATAAGCAGAGACAATTACCCAGACTTGACCAGACACTCATGGGTCTTGAGGACATCCTTGAGGAAGATGGTACGCAGTGGCTCTCGGTCCTGGCAGGGCACAAATGCAACAGCAGGTGAGTAAGTCCACGGACTTCCTTCATCCCACAACCCAGACCAGCCACCCAATGTCTTCCGCTGAGCAGGCTCAAGCAAGTTGTTCTCAAACTCAGAGGGAAAAACTCATCTCTGAAGAAAGTGCTTAGTGTCTTAGACTGTTCAGGGGCTCAAGGTGCAGCAGGAGAGGGGGCAGCAGGAAGTAAAGGCCACTCCAACAGCCTGGGAAAGTCCACAGCCAAGGGCACTCTGGACATCTCTGTGTGTCTGTCTGGATGCCTATTCATGCACTCTCTGGCCTGCAGTGCAGCCATGAGCCTCCTCAATGTCACCAGGACCCCCAGGCTGCTACCAACCTGCTCACCCTTGAAGTAGCAGATGGTGAAGTCGTCGAGGACGAAGAAGCGGCGTTTCCAGCTCTTGCGCTGAATCAGGAATTAAGAAAGCGGGGCGTGAGGCAGTGGCACTAAACTGTCCAGGAGCCCACACACACAGCACAAAGGCTTCTGGCCCTCGGGGACAACAACTGCCACACACGGGTGGCTCCATAGCTATTCCCCACATCCCAGTGGCTTGGGTGAGACCAGCAGGGAAGACTGTCCTAGTATGCCCCTCAACCTGCAGGCTGCCACTCACCACGTTGCCCTGTTTCACACAGTAGCCGCACTTGATGAGGGGTGGCCCGGTGGAGGCACGGCAGCCTGACGTGGGGATGTAGCTCTGAGACCTCCGAAGGATGGCATGGGAGCCTGGCTCGCTCCCTTCCTGCCCGTCCCCACCATTCTAGAAAGAAAGAGTGTTGGGATCAGCACCTCCTCCTCTTACTTCCTGTGTGTAGCTGCAGCCGCCACCCACCTCCAGCCAGCCCAATCCCTTCCTTGCCTCTCAGAAGCCGAATCGATATATAAGAAGCAGGCAAGAAAACGAAGGATGTCTTGCTGCCATTAGGAGCACGCAGAGAAGGGCGGGCAGACACTCCCAGGGCAGTAGGGACACTGGGCCTGTCACCAGCCTCCCCTCCATTGTCAGCCCATCGCCTGGGTTGACATGTGGGCCATGCCACGTCAACCAAGTTCAAAGTGCAGCATCGCCATTCCTTACACACCCACTCCTGCCCGCGGTCTTCCTGATCGCTCCATCTCAACAGCTCCTCTTATCCAAGGTACCCCTCCCTCACTGGCACACCACGGGCACTGCCAACACCCACCACCACCCCCTGGTAGCCCCCACCGGGCCCCCAGAGCACCTGGTTGATAGGTGTGTGCACCACCACTCCTCCGATGATCTCTGTCTTATAGGCCACTTGAGGCTTCTTATCCAGTGCTTGGGGAGCTGTTAAGTTTTTGAGGACTTCGGTTGCCAGGGGCAAGGGTACTTTGGGTACCTGGGAAGAAGGCCAGCCTGGTTAGAAGGCTTGGAAAAGTAGGGAGAATAAAAAAAGTGGTGGTCGGCGGGGGGGGGGGGCATGGTTGGGATGGGGGCAAGAAAGGCTACATTACAGAGAAACTCCCAGCCTATCCATAGATCCATGTCTGAACATAAAGAACTCAGCCAGGAACACTCCCATGTATAGAGTTACTCAAAGTTACTCAACATGTATCATAAGCCAGTCCTTCGGGGCTATAAACCAAAGACAAAATATCGAACAAAATAAACATGGTGGTTACGTGCCATCAGGACACAGCCACCACGACAGAATATGTACTGTGGGAAATGACCAGCATAATTGCAAACGATAGGAGCATCCCTAAAAAGTAAGTGGGAGAGAGTAGGAAAGCAGTCCCTCGAAATGAGATGAGCATGGCAGGTGGAAAGAGAGGGAAGGAGAGAGGGAGAGAAGGAGGTGTTTAAACAGCAGCCTGGAAGAAAGGCGCCAGGTGCAACAGGTGCAAATGCATATGGTAGAGGATGGGGATTCCTAACCTGAAAACCCCTAACCCCAAATGCTCTACCTTCCCAAACTTCTGAGCATGAACGCAGTGAGCAACCCACTCAAAGGACAGGGCACAGTCAAAATGCAGGGGCACTGAAAATACCGCAGGACATGACCTTCAGGTTAATAAGCACACAAAATGAACCTGAAACAGCAGTGAATTTCATGGTGAAACTTGGACCCCCATCCCCATGCCATCCCACCATGTACATGCAAATCTTCCAAAACCCCCAAATGCAAAATCTAGTCCCAAGGCTTTCAGCCAAAGAAACTCGACCCGTGTAAGCCAGAGAACGAGGGGAGCATGAGGTTTTGCAGCCGGAAGGCCTGGGGTCAACCTCTTCACCTCGAGTGTCTGACATGCAAAGCACACAGAGCAACCCCAGCTGCATCCCAAGAGCTGGGCTTCTCAATGACAGAGCCTCCAAATCGAAACACTTGGGAAACACAAAAAGTCAACCATAGGACCAAATATTTTAATTAACACTGAAACTAGGGTTTACAAATGAGTCCTGGAACAAAGTTCTCTTTGTTCTTGCCCGACAGAGACCTTTTAGAGCAAGCTGAAGAGCACAGGTCAGAGGTTGCGAGCGGGTAGCCCACGGTCAGACTCTGCCCAAACCATGCTTTGCTTGCCCTTTCAAGTGTGTTTCTCAATCCACATCAGAAGTTGGCTATATTCATCGGAAAACCCAGCTAAGCAGCAGTTCCTTCCTTGTTAACAGAGAAATATCCACCCTTCAGCCTGGTCCCTACGATTCTCTCCCATACAGAGAGCACCCGTCCAATGTCATCTGTCCACATCTGCTGCCATTCTTCCTGCTTCTTGCCTGTTTCACTAATGTACATTAGAGTCTGCGAGCCATGATGAACTCTTTGATTTTGCGAAGCAAGAGGGTTGGGCTAGTTACTATGTCAGTGGTCCAAAGCCATGATTAAAAATTGAACAGATTGGGCCCAGCACGATAGTGTGATGGTTAACGTCCTCGCCTTGAATGCACCAGGATCCCATGTGGGCGCCGGTTCTGATCCTGGCAGCACCACTTCCCATCCAGCTCCCTGTCTGTGACCTGGGAAAGCAGTCGAGGACAGCCCGAGGCCTTGGGACCCTGGGCCCACGTGGGAGATCCAGAAGAGGTTCCTGGCTCCTGGCTTCGGATCGGCGCAGCACCGGCCCTTGCGGCCACTTGGGGAGTGAATCATTGGACGGGGGATCTTCATCTCTCTTTCTCCTCCTCGCTGTGTATCTGCCTTTCCAATAAAATAATAAATCTTAAAAAAAAAAACTGAACAGGGCCCGGCGCGGTGGCGCAAGTGGTTAAAGGTCCTCGCCTTGCACGCCCGGGATCCCATGTGGGCGCCGGTTCTGATCCCGGCAGCCCCGCTTCCCTTCCGGCTCCCTGCCTGTGGCCTGGGAAGGCAGTCGAGGACGGCCCAAAGCTTTGGGATGCTGCACCCACATGGGAGACCCGGAAGAGGCTCCTGGCTTCGGATCGGCATAGTATCGGCCCGTTGCGCTCACTTGGGGAGTGAATCATCGGACGGAAGATCTTCCTCTCTGTCTCTCCTCTCTCTGTATATCCGCCTTTCCAATGAAAAAATAATAAAAAAAAAAAACTGAACAGATTAGACCAGGCCTCCCATGGTCAGTAGGCTGTGCATAGCCTCACAGTGCCACCTACACGAGGAGGCAGCATGGTGCCCCTCTGTCAGAAAAGGAGCACAGGTCTCAGGAGAAAGGCTTGAGCCAAGGATGCAGAGGCCCTGCCCCAGCTGGCAGCTCAGAGCTCTAGGAAGGCACTCTGTGAAGGACGGGGACTGAAGCATCCGGAGTCTTTGGAAGCAGGAGGAACTCCCCGATTATACTGGAGCCCCAGAATGACAATGAGGACTGGGCATGCAGTCACCTAGGAGTACATTACAGGAAGCCTGTGCTGGCTGGGATGAAAAGATGGTTTGGGGGCTGAAAAACAAAGTTGAGGTTCACACGGTTATTTTGTAACCTGCCTTCTCCAAGAAGCTTCTGCAGACTCTGCATCTATAAGGATGCCCTCTGCTCTACCTACTCCTCCACCCAGACCAGCATGTCTGCTTTTTCTTACCCTGACCGTCTGGGACCTGACAGCAGGCACCATTTCCTGAGGCGCCCATTCGGGGTCAAGCAGTGTGCTAAGCTACTTGCTGCACCAGCCCTACTCTTCAAGCAAACCGTCTCCATTTCATAGATGAGGTAAACTGGAAGAGGCTCATTAAAATAAAGAAAGGTGGGGGGGAGGGGCTAGTGCTGTGACATAGTCAGTGGATTAAACCACCACCTGCAGTGTTGGCAACCTATATAGGTGCTGGTTCACATCCCAGCTGTTCCACTTCTGACCCAGCTCCCTGTGAAGGCACCTGGGAAAGTAGTGAATGATGGACCATGTGTTAGGCCTCCTGCAGCCAGAAGGGAGTCCTGGATGAAGCCGCAGGTTCCTGGCTTTGGGCTGGCCAGTCTTGGCTCTTGTTGACTTTGGGGGTATGAACCAGCAGATGGAAGATCTCTGCCTGCCTTTACCATGGCCTTTCTATAACCCTGCTTTCCAAATATATAAAAGAAATCACTTTAAAAAGAAGGAAAAAGAAAAAAAAAAAAAAAAACATTGTGCCCAGGGCTGCTGAAGTAGTACTAGCTGCTGAAGTACTACTACCACTTTGAATCTGTGAGTTTTGCAATTGTGGGCTCAAAATTTTTAGGGATGCTGACTTTTGCTATGGTATTTAGTGTTATACTTAGAACACAGAAATTCCCCCTCAACTTCCCAAGCAAATTCCCTTTTAACCCAGCAGAGGAGCAAAGGAACTCTTCGGAGTGGTCAGAAGGGGCTCCGGGAAGCAAAGCTTGATGATGCCATGCTGTCTCTCAGGACCTTGTGGGCCCACCTGCAACAACTAGGCCCTCCCTCCTAGGCTGCTCTGGCCACTCATGATCTGTTTCGGTTTCCTGAGTTGAAAGCCGTCTGCAGAAGACACACTCAACCAGAACCAAGCCACAGAATTTGAAAGGGCGTTCTTATAGTCACCCATACCCCAGGGACCTCTTGGCAGGTCTCCTTCTGCCACCTCCCCTGCAGCCAGGCTATCCCTGATGGACTGGTATGCAAGGAAACTGAAATCTTCACGAACTCCGCTTGCTTCCCCCTGGCACAGCCAGAGGACCAAGAGCAATAGTCCACCTTCGGGAGAAAGATGTGTTCAAGTTTGCTCCATGCGCCACCTTCTTGGGAAATGTGGTCATTTGAAAAAAATGTCCCCCTAAACTGTCTATCAGTAACTTGGAATGTGATCTGATTTAAAAACAGGGTCTGGGACTTGCCTCCAGCCCCAGCATCCCATTTCAGCCCCAGCTGCAGTCCCAGCTGCTCCATCTCCCTGTGAACAAGCCAGTAAAACAGCAGGAAGATGGCCCAAGTGCTCAGGCCCCTGCACCCAAGTGGAGCTGTGGATGGAGTTTCTGATTGGTTTAATCTGCTGATGCAGAACTCACAAATGCGGAGTGGGGACCACCTTCTGCAGATTCCTAATGTTCCCATCACGTAGAAATGATACATGGCTGACATGAGAGCTCTGCCCACACTCTGCCCACGCTCTGCCCAGCTCTACCCATCATCCTGACCTGGTAAGGACACATTACACATATGTGAAACTTCCTTCTCTGCCAGTGCATGTAACCGTCATGTGTCAATTCAGGTTTTTAAAGTTCTGACGTCCTTCCCCACAGGCTTTTCCCTTTTCCCTCAGAGTAAGTACCTCCTTTTCCAGTGCTCCCACGTTCTGAGTCAGCATCCCAGGTTACTCAGTACACTACTGCCCAGGATCCCTCCTGGGACGCTCAAGGGACTCTCCATCAATTTCCCTTTGAACTTGATGCAAACTCGCACCTCTAAATTGCAACCTGTGGTTTTTCAGCTTAGGCACGCAAAGTAGAGGACGACAAGACCAGGCTCCTGGGACAGTCCTACGGCCATGTGAGTAGACCTGCATGTCCTCCTGCTGTGGAGGGTGCTGGTACTGTGGCCCAGAAGAGAGAAGAAACCATACGTACTGTGATCTTGCTGGCTTGGTTCAGGGCTTCAACCCAGTCCTTCAGATCTTTCTGGTCGTTGGCTTGAAGGAAGTATCTCTGAGACAAGGCATTGATAACTGCAAAAGTCAGGGAGGCAGAAGGGAGAAATTCCCAAATCAGAACACCTGCAACACAACACTCCACAAAGTCCGAATGATCGAGGCAGCAAAGGCAGCCTCCAACCACAAAGTCAATTCAGAAATGGATCGTGATGTGCAAACAGCTTCCACCAGCCTACAAGCACAAGCTCGCTCTTTCATCTTTCAAAGTAAAACATTCCAGGGCCAGGGTAGTGTTGCAACAGGCTAATACTCTACCTGCAAGTGCCGGCATCTCATGTGGTTGCCAGCTCCACTTCTGATCCAGCTCCCTGCTTAAGGCCTGGGAAAGCACAGGAGGATGACCCAAGTCCTTGAGACCCCACACCCACACGGGAGACCTGGAAGAGGCTCCGGACTTCAGATAGCCTCAGCTCTGACAGCTATAGTCATTTGGAGAGTGTACCAGAACACAGAAGACCTCTCTTCATTTTTCCTCCTCTCTGTCAATGTGCTTTTCAAATAAAAATGAGAAAAATCTTAAAAAAAAAAAAAAAAGGTAAAATGAAAGACATATTTCACAAGAATGACACACGCCAACGCCAACATTGGCTTTTAAAGTGCTGCCCTGTGGTCACAAAGAGGCTGCTGCTGCTCTGTCCTCACTGAGTTTCCCCCGCCACTGCTTTGCTGCAGTGCCGAGCAATGGACGATGATGCTGATGGGAACGTGAACCCAAGAGGAGCACTCCTCCCACCAGCACAACTGGCTGGGCTTGGGAAAGAGTGCAAAGCTACAATCATGGCCTCACTTTCAACCTGAGTTTTCCTCTGGGCTCAATATATATATTTTTCTTTTTAAAATCTACTAACCCACAAAAACTAAGAGTCATCCCTGAGCTCAGCAACAGTATTGACAAGAAATGAGTAAAGCAGCAGTCATTGTGGCACAGTGGGTGAAGCAGCTGCCCACGACATCGGCACTCCCTATGGGCACTGCCTGGTGCTCCGCTTCATTCAATCTCCTGCTAATGGAATGGGAAAGCAGCAGAGTGTCACTTTGTGGCCCTGCCACCCCCATGAGACTCAGATGACGCTCCTGGTTTTAAACCGGCCCAGCCCTTGCCTTTGCAATCATTTGGTGAATGAGCCTGTGGATGGAGGAGATCGATCTCTCTCTCTCTCTCTCTCTCTCTCTCTCTCTCTCTCTCTCTTCCACTCTCCATCTCTCTAGCTCTGACTTCCAAATAAATGCTAGGAAATAAGGAAGGAAGGATGGATGGAAAGAAAGAAGGAAAGGAAAGCATCAAAGAAATTTGGAAAAAAATCTGAAGTTGACAGAAAAGACAGCTCTAAGGACTATTTTATCGTCTCAGCATAAGCCTGAAGAATAGGAAGAGACTATCGTGGGTAAGATGTAAAATTCATTAGTTCATTCATTCATTCAACAAATACTGACTTGGCGGCCCCCGTGTGCCAGGAGTCACTCTAAGTGCTGAGACTCTAAGGGACCAGACCTGGGGACAGCCCTGCCACAAGATGCTGCGCATATACCGGGGAACCTGATCCTGTTTGCTCAAAGCACTTACCCCAGCTCTGAGAACACGGGCAGAACTGAGTCAGGATTCTCTGGCTGGACAGGCCGGTGGCACAGCCGGCGAAGCCACCACTTGTGACACCCATATCAAAGTGCCTGGTTTGAACCCTGGTTCCTCCACTTCTGATCCAGCGTTCAGCTAACGCACACCACCGGAAGCAGCAGAGGATGGCCCATGCACTTGGGCTCCTGACTCTCAACTACAAGATCCAGATGGAGTTGGCTCCTGACTGTGGCTGGGTACAGGCATCGGAGAAGTGAACCAGTGACAGAAGTGGTGTTTTTTTTTTTTCTCTCTCTCTCTCCCTGGCTGCCCCCTGCCCTGTCATTTTGTCTTTCAAATAAGTAAGTCTTCACAAGGATTAGATGAGTGAGTCACTGAACTCATCAGTGAACCAATGACACGAGGCACCCATTGGCTGCTCCCTATAGCCTTCCCCGGTACTGTTATTCTTCTGGCAACACCGGGGCCTAGCAATGGTTTGGATGTGGCTTGACCCTTCAGAGTTCATGGACTGGAAGCCTCATCCCCAATTTAGCAAAGTCAAGAGGTGATGGGGCGTTGAATGAGTGAGGCTTAAGGGGTGACCTCATGGCACACTGGGTTAAGCTGTGGTCTCAGACACAGGGCACGAACAGCCCATACTGCGGCACTGATTCAAGTCCCGGCTGCTCCGTTTCTGACCCAGCTTTCCATTCACACATGCGAGAGGCAGCAATGGTGATTCAAGTACCTGGGTCCCTGCCACCCACGTGGGAGACAAACACAGAATTCCAGGCTCCTGGCTTCAGCCTGGCCCAGCCCCAGCAATTGTGAGCATTTGGGAAGTGAACAAGCAGATGGAACACTTTTCTCCTTTTCTCCCACACTGCCTTTCAAACGAATACATAAATTCTAACAACAACAAAAATAGGTGGGGCTTAGTAGTAGGCCAAAAGATAGGCCCCTCCCACACTTTGACCCCCCAATCTCAGAAGCCTTGTCCTCTAACACATACCTAACCTTCCAGGTACTCCCACCATGTCGCCATCTGTGTGATGGGATGCAGCTAGAGGGCCCCCACCATAGCCTGTGCCATGCTAGCTGGACTTTCAGCATCCAACCCTCTGAGTTAATTAAACCTCAATCTTTCTCTCCCCTACCTCTTTTTTTAATGGCAAGTTACCTAGCCTGGGATATGTAAGGACAGTCACAGAAGAGCGATGACCGCAAACTCTGACCCAAACCCTCCTTCCTGCTTTCTCTTGCGCCCCAAGGCCCCACGCTAAGCACACCAGCACCTAGCTCGAACACGAGGGCACCAGGAGCAGCTGCGCACCTCCTTCCCTGTGGCATCAAACGAACTGCGATGTTTCCTGGCCCTGCCTATCTGCCCTGACGTTACCAGCACTCTCTGCAGCGAGACCAAAGGCAGACGGGACTCTCGGGTCACATACAAACGCCACTGCGTTTTCAATCACCCACACGCATGGGCGTAGTCACATGGGATCACAGGACTGTGTCCACGCAAAAGGGGAAGTGTATGCACAGCCTGGAGAAAACCCAGCCCAGGCCCAGTACTTACCAAAGCAAAATGGAGTCTTCGGTTTCTGCTTTGGGGTTGCTACGCTCACCTACATCAAGTGAAAAAAAAAAAAAAATACATGTATGATTTGCTTCTAGCACTGTGGAAAATGTTTTTGTGAAATGTTTCCTATGTATAAATGTTACTGAACATGAGAATGTATGTTAAAGAGTCGGTGAAAACCCCACACTCGTCGTCCACCCGAATTGGTATTCTTGGTCTTACTTTTTGCTAGTTTCCGGTGTGTCCTGCCCCAGGCAGACACACTCCTCAGAGATTCCTGGTAACTTGATATCTGCGTACATCTCCGTCTTCACAAAATCACTTTGGGAAGCCACCGAGTCCTCCCAAACACTCCCTGGGTCAGAAGACCTCATTCTCGCAAGCAGGATTTGATTCCCCTTACAGCCACTGCCCACCCCCCAGCCTCCCGGATGACTGAGCAGAGAACAGTCCCAAGTAGACTCCAACGCCAGCTCTCAGGAAGCTGAGTCCACACGCCCCTCACCAACTTGAGGCATACTCCACCAACTGGCCTTTCTATCCACTCTTTCCCGTGTGCACAGCAGGGCTGAGGCACCAGAGAGAGGATCTGCACGTCTAAGGGCACTTGGAAACGTTCTGATGGCTCCAGATTCTTTCTTTCAGCTGGCACTGGCCATCCTACCCCCTCGCCCACACATTGCTGATACACAAGTCCGCAGACACAAGTCAGTCGGGGTGAGACACAATCAAGGATGCAAGGCTAGTCTGACCCCAAAGGCTAGGAGAGGAGCCCCAGTGATGGCTGAGCGTCCCTGGAGCGGGCCTTCTCCTACATCTGGGATTTCTGAGAGAAGCAGGCACCTTCCTACAGGTCCTAGGCTGAGATGGTTCAACTGCTGCTGTAATCCTCCCCGGGTTACCAGCCCCATCCAGCCAGTCCCCCGGGGCTGGCTCCTGACTCCAGCTTCCTGCTAATGCAAACCAGCAGACAGCCGGTGATGCCCAGGTGCTTGGGCCCCTGCCACACGTGAGGGAATCCTGGGTTGAGTTTCCAGCTCCCCAATTTAAGCCGTTGCAGCCATTTGAGGAACAAGCCAAAGATATCACAGTTCTTATTCTTTCTCTACATCTTAAACAAAAAATAAAAAAAAAGTTTAAAAAAATAAAAAAAGTTATGCTGACCTGCATGGTAGCCTAATGGCTAAAGTGTTCGCCTTGCATGCGCAGAGTTCCCATATGGGCACCAGTTCTAATGCTGGCATCCCCACTTCCCATCTAGCTCCCTGCTTGTGGCCTTGGAAAAGCAGTTGAAGATGGCCCAAAGCCTTGGGACCCTATACCCACGTGAGAGACCTCTGGGTTTCCTGGCTCCTGGCTTCTGGCTTCAGGTCAGCTCAGCTCCAGCCATTGTAGCTGCTTGGGAAATGAGTCAATGGACAGAAGATCTTCTCTGTCTCTCCTTCTCTGCATATATCTAACTTTCCAATAAACTAAAAAAAAAAAAAAAAAAAAAAAAAAAACCTTTAAAAAAAAGTTCATGCTAAGTGAAATTAGAAGGTAAGTTGAGTGACCTGAGTGACCGGAGTTGTAGCATGCAGATGGAGCCACCGCATGGGACATAGGCATCCCATGACAGGATGCCAGCTTGAGTACTGGCTGCTCCATCCCAGACCCAGCTCCCTGCTAATGCACTTGGAAAAGCAGCAGATTACAGATGAATATATCAGTGGTTGCAAGCTCTCCCTCTCTCGGTCACACTTTCAAATAAATAAATACATCTTAAAAATATAAAAAAATAAATTATTAGGGCCCGGTGGCGTGGTCTAACAGCTAAAGTCCTCGCCTTGAATGCGTTGGGATCCCATATGGGCGCCGGTTCTAATCCCGGCAGCTCCACTTTCCACCCAGTTCCCTGCTTGTGGCCTGGGAAAGCAGTCCAGGATGACCCAAGGTTTGGGACCCTGCACCTGCATGGAAGACCCAGAAGAGGCTCTAGGCTCCTGGCTTCAGATTGGCTCAGCTCCAGCCGCTTGGGAAGTGAATCATTGGACAGAAGATCTTCCTGTTTCTCCTGCTTTCTGTATATCTGACTTTCCAATTAAAAATATATCTTTAGAAAAAAGCTCTTCAGGGTTCCCAGTAGCTGCGGTCTAATTATGACTGGGCTTACAAGTCAGTCTGGGTTCTCATTCTCGGCTTTAAATTCTTCTTCATGAGGCACTGCCCAGGTTCTAAAATTGATAGATTTAAATTAATATAGTTTAGAACCCACATACAAAACTAGGAACCCAACACTGAGGAAAGATCCAAAGAAGGGTAGTCCAGCCTAGGCCACAATCCCAGGCACCCCGGCTGCGGGACCTTCATTTCCTGCTCTACCCAGGGAAGGAAAAATCGCATCCAGTTTTCATCGGATTGTCATGAAAACTGATCAACCCTTTCACCCTAACACTGTCAATCAAAAAAGGGCCTGTTTGCAGCCCCAGGTACCTCATTTTGTTTAAAGGCCCATGCTGGGCCTGGCGGTATGGCCTAGCTGCTAAAGTCCTTGCCTTGAATGTGCCAGGATCCCATATGGGCCCTGGTTCTAATCCCAACTCCACTTCCCATCCAGCTCCCTGCTTGTGGCCTGGGAAAGCACTCGAGGATGGCCCAAAGCCTTGGGACCCTGCACCCGCGTGGGAGACCTGGAAGAAGTTCCTGGCTCCTGGCTTCAGATCGGCAGAGCGTCGGCCGTTGCGCTCACTTGGGGAGTGAATCATTGGACGGAAGATCTTCCTCTCTGTCTCTCCTCCTCTCTGTATATCTGACTTTGTAATAAAAATAATTAAATCTTAAAAAAAAAAAAAAAGGCCATGGCACACACTGATACAAGGAATGCCACGCTGGAGATGATGGACAAAATGCTGGGAGCCCACAGGCTTCTCCAGTCCGGAAATTTACACATAAGACATGAGAAGGAAAAAGTAAAAAGCCCTGTCATCCAACATACAAGACACAGATGCAGCACCACGTGCCATAGACAGGTACTCAATAACATGGCTGCCGGGCACAATGTCAACCCGGCAGAAATGTATTCACATAGACCCAACAAGTCACATTCAGTCAACCTCACCCCATTTTCAACTAAGCATCCCCCTCCAAAAAACTTACAGAGTCCATTACATTTGTAAAAAAAATTAATAGCTTCATTTTTCTCAGTTTCCAAGAATCCTTGGGCGCTCAGAACTCCGAGCCGATCGTAAATTAGATGAGTGACTCACACTTTCAACTATTTCACAGCCAAAAATACTACACCCAATGGGGGCCATGGGTGTTGACCACGACGTAAGGTCATGGTCTTACATCGGGGCTAAGAAGGTTTAAGCAAGGGTAAATCCACGCCACCCAGATGACTCAACTTGGCCCTTCACACTTGCAGGCAGCAAGCAGGACACCACCACCACCACCACCACCACCACAGCAGGTGCGAGTCCCACTGTCCTCTTGGCCATGAACTTGTACATGTCAGGCAGGCCCTTGGGTTTCTGCACTACTGGCCACACTAGCAAGGCCTGGTTCCGTTAGCTTCTGAACAACACGGTAGGTGTACTGCTGGGAGTTAGGCAGCATATGTGTGATCTCTCCAGCTGTTCTCTCTCTCTCTCTCTCTCTCTCTCTCTCTCTCTCTCTCAGTGAGCATCTGAAGCACCCCGGGAAGCCCAGCATTCCCAGGCCCTCTGTGGTTTACCTCTGCTGCCGCCTGATGTGGCTTGCCACACTCGGATTACAGACCCCGACTTACTAGCCAGGCCACACTGTAAGAAGAGTACCATGCTAATTGCAGCAGCAGAAGCTTCCAAAGAGATGGGCTGGCTGTGGTTTGCTTTCCTACGTGTGCTCAGTCTGCAGTGATGAATCGAGTTGCGTGCCTCTGTAATGGACCTCACACCTCAGAGAGTCCCTGCGAAGCAACTCCAGGCTGAGTAAATAGGATCAGTTCTGGTGGCTGCCCCACACCCACAGGGAGTAACACACAGAGCCTGCAGTGACATGGGGGGAGGGTGGCGGTGAGGGCACAGAGCATCGGCAGGGTGACGCGGCAGGCAGGGCCTCTGCACAACTCAACAGGCCCTTATCAGATCCAAGCGAGGCCACAGGAGTGTCAGGGTGCGCCCTGCCCGTCCTGGACCGGAAGCCCCTTCTGCTAGGAGTGGTGACAGGTCTGGGAGCTGAGAGGAGAGAGGAGCTGTGCGGCTCTGTCCTAGGGTCTGGAGGACAGGGGACAAGCCAGCAAGTGACACCAGCATCTCCAGCATCAGGCTATGCACACACAGGCACATTCAATTGGAGAATGGTCCCTCCTTGACATCAGACGCTGCCTGCCACCACCCAAACCATAAACAACTCTTATTCCATACATTCTGAAGGAGACCCAGGCTGGGAGGGAAGGGGCCCTCAGGACAGAAGTGGCTGGGAGGGAAGAGCTGAAGGCAGGGAGATGCGGGTGGCCTTAACTGCCTTAGAACGGGTCCTGCTGCCACAGATCCTGGCCAGCAACATTTCTGAGCCTCCTGGAAAGGCTCTGTGCCCACCCCCATTTCCCCAGAGTGCTGGCCACCAGCAGAACCATCAGACCCCGTGGCAATGGCTCCCTCGGGGAGGGTTACCTGAGGGCTAACTACAAATGACCTAGCAGGTGACACTGGACCCCAGTCCCTCAGCGAAATGCTCCTCCAGGCAACCCCTCTGGTCTAAGGGTCAGGCAGGAGTTAAAAGTTCCCAAGTCTGTGTAGCCCAACCCAGAGGCAGCTGTGGGTTCTGGACAAACCCACCCAGGCCCTGCCCCTCCCTGGGGAAGGGCTAAGCAGCAGCTCCTTCCCCCTGGAAATGTGGCAGCTGCCAGAGCTGACAGTTTAAAAAACAAAACCAAAAAAAAAAAAAAAAAAAAAAATCCCAACCCTCCTCTTAGCTGCACTTATAAATCATGACGCAGCAGGAGACTGCGTCCACTCTTGGCCCTTCAAACCAGCTCAAAACAGGACAGAGTTTCGGTTTTCATGATGATGAGATGCACAGCTCCCTCCTGCACCCCGCCCCCCTGCAGCTCAACAGGCAGGGGAGGGGAGAGAGGGGAGCAGAGGGGAGTAAAGGGGAGGCTGGTGCAGGCCTCTAGCTGAGCTGGATTAGCGGGCCAGGCAGACCCAAACTGCCCGCAGCTGGGCAAAGACCCTTCCCCCTCACCTAGGGTCAGAATCACCCCCTGCAACCCCAGCAGACACCTCCCGCATTTTGGCCCCAGCAGTCAAGCTCTTCCCCTCCAGGACCGCCCTTCCCGGGGTTGGGGGCATTCTAGACCCTCCTCCTGACTAGTCCCTAAAGTTGAGGGCCTCTCCCCCAGAGGGTGGAGGAGCAGGCAGGCTGGGAAGCAGAAGCCCCAGAGGCTCAGGGCGTGCAGAGCAGCACAGGACTTCCGGAGCCTGGGTGCTGGCTGGGTGCCACCTGGCTCTGCTCACTGTACAAAGAGTTCCTCTTTCTGGGGAGGCTGCAAATCCCCTGGCTTTTTGATTGCTGCTGCATCATGGGTCAGCAATGGTGCCTGCCCCGGGAGGGACCGCCCAAAGGAGCTGAACTTGGCAATGGCAGGGCATCCTCCGCCAGCCCTTCCTCCCTCTCCGGGGCTCAGCATGTCTGCCCCTGCAGGACCCTGCGGCAGTTGCTGGCCCCACTGGGCATCTTCCCTCCAAAAGGTTGACAATGCTCTAGGCAAGTCTAGCTCTTTGTCCCTTTCCTCTCTACCCTTCAAGGGTACCGGATTTGGAGTGGTAGTTTGTGTGTGCCTTTTTCTCCCAGTCCCACAAAAGGAAGTCATGTTCCCTCCACTCCCAACCCACAGCTCGACCACCACCACCACCACTGCTCACCCTCTGAGACCCTGCTAACCAACCAGCAGTTAATCTGCCATAGGTCCCATTTGGAGAAGAGGAGTAAATTAAGGTCCCCCAAGTGCTAAGTCCCAAAGGTCTTGTCACTCTGCTTTGTGTACAAGTGAAACCTACTTCGCAGTATCCCCTGAGCCCCATGCCAGCATTACCTTTGAGATGTAGGTCAGCTGCAAAGATCCGACAGCGCCAGACCCAACTGCCAGGTTCTGAAAGACACAAGGTTTGTTTTTTTTCAATTAGAAGAATGCCACGTGGGACGACGTGGAGAGACGGAGTTTCCAGATGTGGTGACGCCGCCGCGCTGCGGCTCTGCACCCCGAACCAGTCACTGAAAAATGAAAGTCATTGAAAGTGAGCCACTTTCCTCACCTGCAAACCAGTGATTCATGATTCAGTTTCCTCGTGGAAACTTGTAACCTTCACACTGTTTAATTACCTCTTATTATAGAGATTTTACGAGAGTGGTTAAAATGTAGGTGTTCCACCACCGGACAGTCAACAGCTTTTCTTAACCAAGAGCCTGAATCTTCCCTTTGCTACAAGCAGTCATGAAACGCTGCACTCCGAAACACTTTGTCAGTGGACTGTCAACACGGCAAGACGCTCAGAGGTGCCGTGTCTGGAAACACGCTCTAGCTGGACATGACCTCTTTTTGCTTTCCAGTGTCCCCGGCTGCTGGGGATAAAGAAATCAAAGCACAGGGACAGAAACATGACAAGGTGAAGGCCAAGACCAGATATCACAGCTGCGCAGTTTCCCCCAAGGATGATCTGGAAAACCCACTCATGAAGCTGAGAATCTGTCCCTCAGTGACCTCTCCAACTGTGCCATCTGATGATGGCATTGCTGTGGGCCAGGAGAAGCCACCACGTCAGCATGCCTTATTTGTGCACTGGTTCAAGTCCCAGCTGCTTTGCCTCCAACCCAGCTCCCTACTAACACACCTGGGAAAGCAGCAGAGGACCCTGCACCCATGTGGGAGACCCATATGAGGCTACTGGCTCCTGGCTTTCACCTGGCTCAGCTGTGGCTCCTGCGACCAACTGGGGTGTGAACCAATGGATGGGAGGTGTGTCTCTCAATCTCTCCTCCCTCTCTGCCACTCTGCCTTTCAAATCAATCAATAAATCTTTCTTTTAAGATACATTTATTTTTATTGGAAAGGCAGATGTACAGAGAGGAGACATAAAGATCTCCTGGTTTATTTCTTAAATGGCTGCAATAGCCAGAACTGAGCTGATCTGAAACCAGGACCCAGGAGCACCCTCCCAGTCTTCCACACGGGTACAGGGTCCCGAGGCCTTGGACCGTCCTCGACTGCTTTCCCAGGCCACAGGCAGGGAGCTTGATGGGAGGTAGAGCAGCCAGAGATGACCAGGTACCCATATGGGATCCTGTGCTTGTAACAGGAGAATCAGCCAACTGAGCCATCATGCTGGGCCTAATCAATAAGTCTCTTAAGAAAAGATAAAGAAAGGACCATCAGAATCTTAGGATCCTCATGCGTGACCCAGGAAGGCCTTGGCCCAGCGTGCCTACATGGTGCTCCAGCAGCCGGACTGGCACTGCGGAGTATGCATGAGCTTTACACTTGATTTTGCACATTTTTTTTCCAACTGCATAGAGATTTTTGCTTTGTTTTGTGTTTGGAAACCTCTAAGGGGCAGAGACAGGCCTTGTAGCTCCTAGATTCCCAATAAGCCGCAGCTCCCCAAAAGGCTTGTGCGTGATGACCAAAGCCCTAAGGGTCACTGTGAACTCCCTGGGCAGAGGGGAGCTCTGTGTGGGTTCCCAAGGTTGGCTTCTCAGGAATCCACAGAGCCACGGGCCTCTGCCCCATTCTCCACTTGCTTTGACAGCTGAGGTCAGGGAGACTTGTGAACAAAAGAATTGGTGGGGCCCGGCGCAGTGGCGCAGTAGTTAAGGTCCTCACCTTGAACAACGCCTGGGATCCCATATGGGCGCCGGTTCTAATCCCGGCAGCCCCGCTTCCCATCCAGCTCCCTGCCTGTGGCCTGGGAAAGCAGTCCAGGACGGCCCAAAGCCTTGGGACTCTGCAGCCATGTGGGAGACCCGGAAGAGGCTCCTGGCTTCAGATCGGCATAGTATCGGCCATTGCGCTCCCTTGGGGAGTGAATCATCAGACGGAAGATCTTCTGTCTCTCCTATCTGTATATTCGCCTTTCCGAGCAGAACAGGAAGCCTGCTTTCCGCTTCCAGTCTATACCCAAGTGACAGCAGGGTGTAACTCGGAAGGCTGGCACTGTGGGGATTCTAACTGTCCCAGGGACAACATCAGAGTCACCTAGGACTTGGCGAGAATCTGCTCCTTGGGGTGGTGGTGAGAGCAAGGGAAGCTGCCTGCCCCGTGCCCTCCGGCAGGTGCCAGGGCTGCTCCCACACACGGCCCAGAGGCCTCCAGGACCAGTGGGGTTTGGGGAACCATTCAGATAAGAAACCATGCAGAACAGAAAGAACCACAGGGCTGGTCAAATTTCAGCTCCGTCATCCCCACCTCCCTAGGGGAGCGGCCTGTGTGGGCTACTCCAGGCCTGGCCTCCCCACCTCTCCCGAGGTTCAGAGAGGCTGCAGCAGCAGTAGCTCCGATGCCCCAGAGGCAAAGGTGGGGGAGTCCTCACCCTCTCCCTCTCCACCCTCACCCCACCGGGGCAGTTCCTGGGCTCAGCTGCACCCCGCCTGGCCATGAAAGCCAGGAAAATAGGAGACACGTCTGAAAATGCTACCTCCCCCAACCCAAGGAACAGGCTACACGGGAGAAAACAGCCCCAGGACCCACGGGGCTTGATCCAAAGCGACACACACTGTCCACTGCAATTACCAGACCTACAGGATTAACAGTGACAGCTGACTGCCCTCGTGGCACATGGGCAACGCCCGGCGGGCAATTCCTGAGAAGGGCGATTGCGCCAAGGTGCCCGCACTGAGGACCAAGCAGCCAGTGTCAGAGCAGGTACCAGGTGAAGGCTGGGGACCAGACCTGGGGATAGGCGCCTGCATGAGCTGCCTGTCCTGGCCCCAGCTCGGGATCCTCTCCCTTGGAAATGGAGACCCTGGGCCTGCTCTGGCTTTCCTGCACACTAGAGCCACCGGGGGAACTTGTATGGAAAAGCCCAGGCCCGAAGAGCAGCTGCACACCAGAGAATCAGCATCGTGGCAATGGCGAGAGCTCCCCAGGGACAGACCTAGGCCCAGCACCTAAGCTGCCTGCCACAGCCGTGTGCAGCATCTGCGTTCAGCCTTGTGCAGCGCCTGCGTTCGACCCTGTGCAGCGTCTGCGTTCAGCCATGTGCAGCGTCTGTGTTCGGCCGTGTGCAGCGCCTGGTTCGGCCATGTGCAGAGCCTGCCTTCGGCCATGTGCAGCGCCTGGTTCGGCCGTGTGCAGAGCCTGCCTTCGGCCGTGTGCAGCGCCTGGTTCGGGATGCCGGCGAGGAGAGCGGGTGCCTGCACCAGCTGGGTTCCTACATAGAAAATCTGGTTGGAGTCCCAGCTCTTGGCTTCCACCCAGTCCAGCACTGGCTTTTGCAGACATTGAGGGAGAAGACCAGCCGATGAAAGCTCATTCGCTTTCTCTCTCTGCCTCTCAAATTCAAAAAATAATAACATTGAAAGAATAAAAAATGTTGCCCAATGATCCTTAAACAGGCCCATGTTTTGTCCTGGTTAACAGGACAAAGATCTAGCCCTGTAGTTTGAAGAGCCCTGTATATTGAATAGCCTTGTATATTAGATTTATGTACTTATTTTCAAGACAGAATTATAGAGTAGGGCCTGGCACGGTAGCCTAGCAGTTAAAGTTCTCGCCTTGAACACACTGGGATCCCATATGAGCGCCAGTTCTGATCCCGGCAGCTCCACTTCCCATCCAGCTCCCTACTTGTGGCCTGGGAAAGCAGTGGAGGACGACCCAAAGCCTTGGGACCCTGCACCCTCATGGGAAACCCGGAAGAAGCTCCTGGCTCCCGGCTTTGGATCGGGTCAGCTCCAGTCATTGCAATCACTTGAGGAGTGAATCATCAGACGGAAGATCTTCTCTGTCTCTCCTCCTCTCTGTATATCTGACTTTCCAATAAAAATTAAAAAGAAACAAACAAAAAAAATTACTGAGTGGAAGACTCAGAGATCTTTTATCCACTGGTTCACTTCCCCAGATGGTCACAAGGGCCAGCACTTGGACCAGGCAGCAAGACTGGACCAGTAAACAGGAGGTGTTCAAAAAGTCCACAGAAATACGTATAATAAAAAAAAAAAAAGAAAGCTTTTTTTGAGGGCTTCTTTTCCCACTAACATAGACCTATCTTTGAATCCCCTTTTCCAACATGTGGCAGCCATGTTTGGCAAGCACATCTGAGTAACGGGTCTAACCATGCCTACACATGTCTTTGCATTGGAAACCTTCAACCTCTCCCGTCAGTGTCAACCATCGTTACTTTACAGAACCTGGCAAAGTCTTTGTGGGTGTTTCTTTGTATTTGAGAGCAAACTAGCAAGCAAGAGAGACAAAACGAGGCTCCGGGCTGCTTAGTTCCCAAGAGCCCTGAAGGGTGGGGCCGGGGCTGGAGCCAGAAGCCTGGAACTCTAAAGCCGGATCTCCCCAGTCACGTGAGCCATCGCTAATGCCCGCCCCGCCCCAGGGTCCTCATTAGGAGAGAGCAGCAGTCAGGAATGGAATCCCAGGACAACCGAGTGGCCAGGGGCATCCCAACCTCTAGGCTAAATGCTCCCTGCACTTCACTCGCTCCCGGGGTAGGGCCCAGCACTGTATGCTATGGGGGCTCTGGAGTAACAGCATGGCACCTCCAGGTCAGAAAGCCAGAGCTGCAGATTAGCTGGGCCTGCTGATTCTGCACTGGAACCAGAGGCAGCTGTGAAACAAGGCCACACCCAGCCTGCAGCCCACACAGCGCCTCTGCTTGCTGCACCAGCAGTAAATAGCAGGGGTGGGGAGGGCGGGTGGAGCAGGGTGGGGAGCGGGGGCGGGAGGGGACCGTGCCGTGCAAGGCCTGCGGCCATCCTTCACGGGGTGTCTGAGATCAGCAGCAGCCTAGACGCTTCCTGGACTTGCGAGTTTTCCAGGGCGATGTTGGGCGCGGGGCAGGTTCCTGTTAGAAGGCCAAAGGCTTTAGGAAGACACACTTACTGCTCTGTGCTCTTCTGACACCAAGGTTCTAGAAAGAGTCCCTGTGC